ACAGTGACCCTGAAAGCTGCAGTCAGTTCGCTGAAGCAGGACCAAAGCCCGGCCTGCAGTCTATAACAGGGCTACACTTAGAGACAGACAACCAAGCACACTCACATTCACACCTACGGACAATTTACAATCACCAATTAACCTCAGCATGTTTCTGGACTGTGGGAGGAAGGAGGTTTTTTTGTTGTTGTTGTAAATGTAATGACTGAATGTGCATCGATAATGCTACAGACCTGTGCTCAGGAATTGTACAGCAACCATACAGTCTTTAAACTGTAACCTTAGGCCCCTACTATATTTAATATATATGGCCTTGTCTTGGTCATCGGATGGCTAAATGGCTAACATACAGTACACTGTATGACCACCACCATGCTTCAGATACATCAACAAAAGCTCCATGCCTCTGTTTCAGATCTACTAGAGTCACTCGAACCTTGTCCTGTGGCTGTGTTTGTCTTTAACTTGTGCCATCTAAAAATGACTCAGAAATCTTGAAGGTAAAGAACAGCACAATACCATGAACCGCTAGACTTCTACAGCAAAGCAGAATGTGCATGAAGGAGGAAATACTGCAGCCCTGGAAGTGGCACTAGACTGCAACCACCTGTATAGGACCACACGTTTAGACACACACACACACACACACACACACACACACACACACACACACACACACACTCACGTAACAAAAGCAAATGACCTGGAGCTGAAGATCTCAATACCTCCTAAGAGAGACACATGCAGACAGACATTAATATGCATAAACAGATATAGCATTGATATATCTGATGAACTGTACAAACCTCTTCTTTTTTTGTTGGGGCATAATATCTAACTTTTAAATATCATGCCAGTGAACCCTCTGCTGAAGTGAGCACCACCTACTGACTGAATGCTTTCCCATCTTTCCACAGCTCTTTTTCTATCCCACTACAAAAAATAAAAAGAAAGGAATTCATCCACTTTACTGAAGTAGGAGCCAGACAACATCAGAAACACTGGTAACAGCCATAAAGGGGACATTCATTAACATTGGTACCTCTTAATTACGGTGTTAACTTCTACTATTAGTAAATTGCTTTTATATAGATACAGCAACGGCAGAAAATGCAGCAATACAAGATTCACTTCAAACCACAGACAGTGTAAACGTGCAGTCTGTGGGTCAAACACTCCGTCCCCACTCGGTCCGTTAACCGTTTCAACGACACAGTGTTCGTTGGTGTCCCACACACACGAAGATTCGCGTGGGAAGGTTTTCAGACGTTGCATATGAGGACGAAGCGAAGCTGCGGTTCTGACAGACAGAAAGAGCACCGAACCAGAATTCAACAGGACATGAAGTGTTCCACTGGCGCCGCGTAGTGGCCCGCAACCGGCGGTGGACCGGCCCGACGACAGCCTTCGGTAAACTTCGACTCGAACCGTCCATCAACGAAAGAGTCCGAGCCTAAGCGGGGCTGTCCGGAACATCCGGCTGTAGCTTCTCAACATAAACAGCAATGGCGGAGGCAGCGGCAGCGTCTACGGCGGCTTCAGCAGGAACAGGAGGCTGGACCAAACACGTAACCTGCAGGTAAGACGAGACAAACGGACACGGTGACACCGTCCACGGCGTGACTCCACGACGGTGGCGGTACGGCGGCTGGCAGGCGGCTGTCAGCGCCGTCTTCCAGGCTCGCCTCAGCTGGTAGCTAGCTGTACCTTAGCGACACTCCGGTGTTGTTATGCTCGCTGTGTTGTGGTCTCAGACGGACTAGCGTGGCGGTTAGCAGGTAGCTGCGTCTGCAACAATCCGCTCGGCCGACATGTATGAAGCCAGAGCACACAGGACAGCTGTCATGTAGTAAAGCCCGATCAAATCCGTCACGCTAATGTTAACTAGCATTTACAGGCACTCGGTGTGCTCTCACTGGACGACTGCCTAATTGTCCAACGTTGAAACTATCACATTGTCCACAGCACCTGCTAGCTTCCCCATCCGCACTGGGCTGGCTGCAGGGCTCCGTGAAGCTTGATAGCCTGTAGAAGTGGAAGATGACATTCACGTAGAGTTGCGGTCATGCGGGTTTGAAAATGAATATTTGGTTTACGCTGGAATTCTAGAATGACTGAAAGGCGTCTTTTAACTGGACAACTTTGTTTGTTGTTTGTATTTTCAGGTATTTCATGCATGGTCTCTGCAAAGAAGGTGACAACTGTCGATACTCTCATGACCTGACCAGCAGCAAACCTGCAGCCATGACGTGCAAGTTCTTTCAGAAGGGAAACTGTGTGTTTGGAGACCGCTGCAGGTAAAGCTGAAACCAAACTACAAAGAAGTACCTGACTCAGATGTGGATCTAATGTTTATAGCGAGCTGACATGTTCAGAGTCAGCTGTTTGAGTCCAGGAAAGTGCTCCCAGTTGTCAGATGTCAGTGCCTTTCTAAATGTGGCTGTGCTCTCAGCCCAGTGACAGCACAGCAGCAGTGCCGGCTGGCTTTCCTAGAAACGCTGCAGCCTGCTCCTCAAGTGGATCTGACACCTGACATCGCTGCTTGCTGATGTCCATACGGTGCTGATCTGTGAGCGTGGCAGCTCCATGTAGGGCTGAGCAGTCGGGATCACTCATGTGCCCTTACAGCTTTTTCTTTTCTGTAGTATTGCAAAATGTGGATTGTAAATGTTATTTTGTGAAGCTATTTTATGTTTCACCTGCCAGCACCAGCTGCTTTTTGGTTGTCTCCAGAGGCCATGTTGGCATGAAAAGGACAACAGTTCTAGTTCACACAGGGATGTTTGGCTGATTAGAGTTCAACACTAACATGTTCTTTTCAGCAAATTTTGCTGTTTTGTAAAAAATCTACTCATAAGATGCACACAAGTCTGTTCTGAAAATGAAAAATGGAGATTTTTATTTTAAAGGACCATATCACTGGGCGAAGGCTACCAGTGAGTGAGATTAGGCTTCCACTATAATAAACAAGAAAATCAGTTGATTCTCTTATAAAAAGAACAGCAAGTACTGCCCATGACAGTTTCCCAGATTCGAAGGTGGTCTTTCCAATATCAGCCGGAAACCAAGAGATTTTCTGTTTGCTATGATGGCAGACTAAGAAAACCAGTAAATATTCAGATTTACAGGGACATTAGATACTGTGAACACTGTCGAAGAACATTCAACATTAAACTTTAGAGACTACAAAGTTGCTGAACTGAAATACAAATCCTCCACTTCTCTATCTGTTATGTGTAGCTCCCAGAGGTCAAGCTCGTTCAGGATGTTGGTTGTGAGTTTAGGTACAGTTTCAGCCTATCCCAGCTGATACAGGGTGAAGGCAGGGCACACCTTGAGGGCTGTAAATATGAAGCCAGTTTGACTCAGTCAGGCTTTCTATGTGTAAGTCGGCTTAACAAAAACTAAAGCCCCCGATAACGAGTTTAAAGAAGGTAGTTTTCAACTTTCTTTGTCAGCTCAGACTTTCTGCTTCAGACTCTGCATGCATTCACATAAAAGGAGGCGTTTTTAGCATCTTGTGACTCTTCTTCTGCTCAAAATGCACAGATAGGTTCATGCCTACTTCAGTCAGTGGGCTGTTTTAATGTAAAGCTACAGGAACATATAAACGTAAAGCAGGATGTCACTTTCATTTTTGGCCAAATCAAAGTGAAATGAATGGTATTGATTGAATATTTATTGTAATAAATTCCAATAAAATAATTCATTATCTACTCTGTTCTATCAGCTGCAGTAGCAGCAGTGTAAATGGAATGAGCAACAAATCAAAACGTATTTGTGCAATTTCTGCACCACCAGCTGAAGACGTGCTGGTTTCCACAGAGACACTGTGCAAGATTGTAGGCACACAGCCTTATTCACTGCTATTACTCACGTAGAGACCAGCCGGTTAGCAGATATAACACGTCTTTGGCTAGGAACCTGTATCATAGTCAGGAAATGATCTGGTTAAAGGGAAACGCTTCTTCCAGCTGATTTAAATCTGAAACTCTGAACATAAGCCAGGTTAGCTCTGCAGTATAACTTACCATGGAGATGTAGCAGGTTAGAAGAAAGAGCAGTTTGGAGTTTGAAATAGTTGGGATCAGCATTGTTTGAGAGCAACATTACGGCCGCTGGTGACTTTAGCAGAGCTGTGGTGACTGAATGACGTAGAGACGTCATCAATCATCACAGTGCCACATCGCAAAGATGACTGCTGTCTGTCAAAGTGTTTATTCCCCCACAAAACAAGGTACAGCTACAACACAGAGTGCTGCGAGTGTTTTAGATATAGCGGTGTGGTGCTCTATAAAAACTGGGTGTGGTGACAGCAAATGATGACAGACAGGATTACTTTTTTGTGATCAAATTTTTATTTTATTTTAGATAGGAAAAATAAAGTCAGGCATATGTACATTACACTAAAAAGGCAGTATGTGGGAATTGACATACCTGTATAGAACTTATAGAGATATACAGTTAGAATAACACAAGTAATAACCTTAAAACAGAACAGAACAAAAAGAGACAGACAGGATTACTGTAACACGAATCCTTTTGAATTGGAAGCACAGTTTTCCTTTAATTAGTCACCAGACTAATGTTGTGTTATTATCTGGAGATGGTCAGATGATTGTTGAAATAATAAACAGGCAGCATTTTGTGTTATTTGGGGAAAATTAATTATGTTCAATAAAAAATAATCTTTCAAATACTTGATAGAAAAGTAGTTGTAGTAATTAAAATTTTTGTGGCAAAAAAAAAAATTGTAAGATTAACTGATTAAAAATAAATAAATAAGTGAAACAATTGATATGTACTGCCCTAAAATATGTCATACTTAGCTGCATTTAGAGTTAAGGCTAATGAGATGTCAGCTAATTTGAGTTTTAATGTCCAATGCAGTCGGCTTCAAGTGCAAAGTAGTTTGGAGCAGTTGGTTGTTCATGTAGCAGCAGTAATACTGGCACATAGCAGTCTGTACATTTTGAACACGCACTGCAGTAATATGAAGTAAATGGGTTCAAACATTCAGTGGTGCAGCGCTTTTGAGGAGCGGATTAGGCCCCCGGTCTGTTGTCAAGCTTGAGTGTACCCAGACAGCAGCAGCCAGCTCGTACAGACGACGTCTGCTCCATGTCTGGCTTCAGGAACATCCCCATAGCTACCGAAGCTCTCTGAGGAACAGCCCAGCAGCAGCAGGAATGCATCACATACTCACATACTTGATCATTTGTCTTAATAGCCAATCTATTTCCTGAAGGCCTGAAGGAAGTGTTTAGTATATAGAACTGAGCTGTTGTTGTATTGATAAGTCACATTCCTTCATCCCTGTGACGGAGCAGCAGTAAAGAGGGTTTCCTCATTATTTCTGTGACCCCGTGGGCCTGTGCACCCTGTATTAAAAGTCTAGAGAAAGGGCCTCACAGTGGGGGTGTATTGTAGTTGAATTCCCTGGGCTCTATCTATTGTGATGGGCTCTGTCTCGCTCTCTTGTGCAGCCATCAGGGCCAGACAGGGTGCACTGCAGCCTGCACGGCAATTACATAACGCTCTGTGTTTCCCTCCTGTTCTCCTTTTTAGAGCTGAACCCCCCCGTGCTGTTGTAGGGTTCCCCAGGTTCACTGTGCTGCAGCACCCTCCTCTCTGCTTTCTGCAGACATCGCTGTAGCAGCCCCCACTTGTCTAAGTCTGGGAACAGAGTTTGCTGTCATGGAGGAGGCTGAAGGAGAGACGGGACAGGTCTTCCTTTTGCATGGCTGTGTGTCTTGTTTTCTATACTGTGGCCAGTTCTATACAGACTGCTGAGGATCTGCTATCACCAGGGCTGTGCCATTAGTTGTATTATAAATGTGATTGTGATTCACTGATATTAGCGTAGCAGTTGCATTTAAGCTAGGGGTGTAATTGTACGAAAGATCCTTGCGTGTTTTTGGGGTCAGAGTACAGCAGAGTCAACGAAAGAAAGGCATAAAATAACAACATAGTTGTTATTTATATTGTGAAAGTTAAAATTCAGCACTGTCTCTCAAAAAACAAATTAATGAACATTAAATTATTACTGGACAAAAATGGCTTTAGAGCAACTGGTTCATTGACTGGGAGCAGAGAAGGTGCTGGTCCTTGCCTTGCAGGAAAGCTGACAGACAGCCAGTAAATAAAACTGGTTCTTAGGAAATAACAAACTGAACGTCTCCGTATCAGACATGGAATTCAACGTGCTGCTGCCTTCATCAGTCTGTTACAGTGAGGGCATTCTGTCATTCAGGCATAGGTCACAATATTCATTACTCACACGAGGTTAGACAGTTCAAGTAATGTATAATGCACAGTATGGCAATAACAGACAGACAGCTGTTGCTCAGGTGGTACAGCGGATCGGTCAATGATCAGAAGGTCGGTGGTTCCATTCCACCCTTTAACCTGTGTCATGGTCATTGTGTCCTTGGGCAAGACACTTCACCACCTGCCTGGTGTGGATGCGTATGAATGGATTGTTGAGGTGGTGGTCGGAGGGCAGAATGGCAGCCAGGCCTCTGTCAGTCTGCCCCAGGGCAGCTGTGGCTACAACTGTAGCTACCACCATGAATGAATGAATGAATAGCTCACAGTGTGAAGAGTGTTTGAGTGTCTAGAAAAGCACTGAATAAATCTGATCAATTATTATTATAAAATCTGAACTAATACCAGCTTATCACAGTGTTCAAATAACTAACAGCCTCATCAACACTGAAAATTCTGCCCATGCGTGATGATAAACTTTAAACTTGGCTAACAGTAGAAGAAGAGTGTGTTGCTTTTAGGTCCTCATTGATCCAGTTTCCATGTGGGGGATCGTTTATAGTTCTACCTAATTAATGAAGTTGCTTCTGTTGCTCCATGCAACTCTCTCAACTCGGAGACGCTCATATGGATTCTGCTGCTGAGTAACGACTACGAGCAGCTGGAAGCAACAAACTGAACTGACTCTGTGACAGCTGATGTGGGGAAACAGTACACAGCACCACTTGGCTTTAGTGAAGGTACCAACATTGTTGTTCCACGTGCACAAAGCCATCTTGCTTTGGAGATGTTCACATGAAGTTTGTTGTGGTCTGGTGCTGCAGGTGTTTATTAAACGTAGAGGAAAGACTCACTGTAATGTGTTTGTGCAAATATTGGTGTAGAAATATGGGGAAAGCCTTCCCTTAATCACCTTACACAACTTGAAGTGCCATCGCTGGTGCACACCTATCTGTTAAGGTGACTCAGTGCACTTCCAACTTGTGCCAACATGTTCAGTTGCCCTCAGATGAACGACGAGTACTGTATGTCTGAAAGGGACTTAAGACTAATCTCAAGAAAAAAATATCCTAAACAAAAAGCCGAGTGTAACGAGATGACAAACTACTGTAGAGCAATGCATTCCTAAATCATGTCCTGGGCATGTTTCCCCTGAGAGACAACCAGAGCTTAATGTGAGCCTGACTTATCTATAAGACAGTCTTATTGAGGATTTGTCTCCTTCCCTTGTTAATGCAGATTTCGACTGTCTTCTATGTTTACTAGATCTTTGTCAAGTCCTTGTTGGTGCCTGTCACAAGCATCCACCTTGGCAGGTTCAATTCAATTCAATTTTATTTGTATAGCGCATATTTACAACAACAACTCATCTCATAGCGCTTCACAAAGGCAGAAACACCAAAGGCAGGTGTATTTCTTTGCAGCAGTGTGAATATCATAGCAAATTTACACATCCACCGAGGGCTGCAACTACTGATTATTTCGATAATCGATTAACCTATTAGTGTTATTTGTTTATTTATTTATTTATGCGATTATTCAATTAATCCTTTTTTTGTTGTTGTTGTTGTTTTTGTAAACAAACATTTTAGTTTGGCCTTTATTTACCAGGTAAGTTTTTAAGAACATACTTTCATGAAGAAAAAGAAACACACAAGAGAATTGTGCATTTTACAGCATTTTATTGAACTAATTTCTGTACAACGCAGCTCACAGCAGAAGGAACACGATGAACTTTATATATATCTTGTCAGTGGGAAGCTTTTTCAATTCAAAGCATCAAACAAAAAATGACGTAAAATTATTACAAAAAAACACAGTTCATTTTTGCAGTTTGCAGGTCACTCGCCTGTTGTGTAGGTTTAGTGTGAAGTGCTCCCACGCTTTGGACAACTTTGTTCGTTAAGTTTTCTCTCCTGATTTGTCTCTTTTCTCCTTTTTCTTCGACATTTTTGCCACACTCTCGCTGACTGCATCGACTGTACTGTGGCGCAACACAAGACCAACTGTTGACTGTCGGCTGCTTCTCCTGCTGTACTGGTAGATTACAGCCGCTGGTGGCTCATTACTGCCACACTTTGGTCACTGCTATCACAGATTGGTTTAAGATTTAAAAAAAAAAAAAAAAAAGCAGGCCGCTTATGGTAAAAAGAAATGTTATTAAGCAACTAAACGATGACTAAATTAGTTGACAACTGTTATAATAATCGATTTTAATTGATTAAATTGATGAGTTGTTTCAGCCATACAGCCACCTCTATGCAGCCATCTTTACAAATTCCAACATCAGTAAGCCATGAAGAAACCTCGTCATGAGTCTGCGTTTCCACCACAGAACAGAAGCCATACACAGTGTTTCCTTTCACCTGAAACACTTTGTACGAATCAAGCACATTTTATAGATTTAGAGATTATAGGAGTACAAGTTCATAATGATGAATTAAACACTTTTTGTTAGAGCATCAGATGGAGAAAGCTTGCTATGCAGTGGAAATCCTGCACCACCCAGATTTTTACTGGACCTCCAATCCCTCCCGTACCCCATCTCCAGCCTCCTGGTAATGCTGGCACTATGTTCTAAGCAGAATTACACTTCTTGTGTTCTCACATGCAACATGGGGGGCTTGGGACAAACGCAGCTTATCATTTTAATTAATTGTTGCAGTACTTAATGACTTGTCAGCAAAACTTGATAGTTTTCACAAATCACTGTCCCTAGTGTATGAGTTTTCACTACTAGAAGTCTTTCTACACAAAGCCAGCTGTCTGAGCACAGGACGTTACCTTCTCAATACTGCCAAAACAAAAACATATAAGTCCAGTTGTGATCCTCACAGTCAATCTGTTTCTATGTACAGACATAGAATCTGTTGCTACGAATATCAAATTCATTCAAATTTAGAGTAAATAGTATTTTCCAAAAAGTCTACTTAAGAAAATGCAAATTATTGTGAGCTGTCATCCACTACCACGGTCAAAGTCACATGCTTCATGTGGTTCATCTATTCACTAAAACAAAACTACTTTCAGCCAAAGTTAAAACATTTTGTGACTTTTTAGGTCTTTGATGTTTGGCACGTCCACTCGAGTTTTCAAAGTGCAAATAAAAATATACGTACGACAGGAATGCACCTGCTGTCTCCTAGAGAGGATTTTATATAAACCATAAACGTTTCAGTTTGACCTGGTGATGGCATGGTCGGAGAATTTATTTAACAGAAACCTAAGTATGAACAGCTGATGTAATCTGTTAGGCACTTTAAATGTGGGAAAAGATTGTCGGCGGCAGCTAAAAATGAGGAGCTGCCACCTGAGTGTTTTGAGCATTGATCTTTGCTAATAAGAAGGAGGAGCAAGCAAAAATGCTTCCACTGTGCAGCCCTGTGCTGTAGAGGTCAGCACAGCAGATCCTGTTGTGTCTGTCCAATACGATAGAGCACCTCAGAAACATGGAAGCAGTTGTCATGTTTCAGTACATTTATCGACAAAACAAACTTGTTGTTCAATGTGAGCACCACATGGTGTGCTTTGGCCATGCAGGACCACCCATTACACATGCCACGTTCTGGCATAAAGCCCTGGACAACACTTAAACATTTGCACATGTGAATGCGCATTCCATATACATTTTTACTTGTTTGCAGATTAACAGATTAAACATTATCTGTTATGCCTCTTCAGCATTTTCTGTCTTTTAGTTAGACTGTATTTCTGTGCTCAACTCAAGACGATTAGAGTAACCTTGACATTAAAACAGCCTGGAAGGGAAAGTCCCAGTGTGCATTCCAGCTACATGCTTGTTATTTACAGGGCAACACGGAAAACCAAATAGCTGGAATGAACTTCTGGTCCTGTCTTTGGCAGTGGCCCTATCAAATTAAAACAAGTTTTTGTTAGCATTTAGCAGATTTTTTGGCACCAACGCTGCACACACACACACACACACACACACACACACACACACAAACGTGTAACTCACACATGACTTAAACAAACTTGTGCTTTACTTAGCTTTGATAGAAGTGCGTTAGTTCTATTTGTAGCATGCACATTTAGTTACCTGTTGTATATTCAGCATTATGTTAAGTTGTTTTAGAAGACGTAAGTGTAGTTCAAAACTAGATTTTGTGAGATCACCGGCATCTCAGACTAAAACAAACGGGAACATCAGCCACACCTCCCCTCGCTTGGTCCAGGTTTGGTTTACCATAAAAAAGGTTGTGTATACAAGCTTTAACAGAGATTAATACAGCCACAACAATGAGCCCATTGTTTCCCCTCATCATTTCTCTGGTTTAAACTTTCCTGCATTAGTGTTGTAGGACAGTCGTCGGCTTTACATTGCAGCCATTATGAGGGCTGTGCTACGAAGCAAGTTTGACATAGTCAGGCTTTCTTTGTGTAAGTCGACTCGACAACAACTAGAGCACAAAATGAAATGATCATGTGCACCTGCTTCACTCAGTTGTTTTCATAGATGCACATGCAATTTCTGCATTGCCAGCTAAATACATGGGGGGTTCGCTTGGGATGACAAAGTTTGCATCCAGTATTTGATCCTGTAACGGCACAGCTTCATTCAGTGATATTAGTAACTCACAGCTCAGCAGTTTTACATTTACATCGTATACCTTCAGCTGAGAATCTGGATCAGAATCGTCAGGAAACTATTTGGCAAAAAAGAGACGCTTCTTCCAGCTGATTTAAATCTGAAATTCTGAACAGAATCTGCTCCCAACCACATTAGTTCAGTGGCATCAGTTGCCATGGTGATCTAGCAGGTTAAAAGAGAGACTCCTTCGTGACACTGAAAACTCTGACTCTAGACTCAGCATAGCTTGCTAACCCACTGATCTCTGGTCGGATGTCTCCCCTTAGGTTCGAACACTGTAAATCAGCAAAGAACGAGGAGCTGCCAACCTCTCCCATGCTGCCTCTGCCCTCCGCCTCGCTGGCCGGCCCCTCAGACCCTGAACCCAGTGGGCCAGCGCCTGGGTCAGGTGTACAAGACTGGGTCAATGCTGCTGAGTTTGTTCCAGGACAGCCGTATTGTGGGCGAGGTGAGTGACCAGCTTTGGTATCCTCAACATTGGTATTGGTTAACACACTTTATGATGGGTTGATATTTAACCATGCATACCTGGCCAATTAATGATCATTAGACAAAGGGTCTTGACTCAATAGACTCCGCCTTCTTCTCCCTTGGACTGGTTTAGTTCCCAGTGTAATTGTGTGTGGCATAATATTTGCCCAGTACATCTCAAGCTAGCTGAGTTTTCCAGCAGGTGAAGTAAATTCAAATGTAAATTTTATGGCTAAAGGAAATTTACATTCACAGCTTTTTTGAATGTTTCTTTAACTGTACATGTCTAGAGACTAGCCTATAGTATTACTGCCATTCCTTTAGCTCCTTACAATAAAATAGCTGCTCAGCTTTACAAGTGAAAATTTTCCAGCTTCTGCTTTAAAACTGGGTAACCAATAATGTTTGAGGTAAACATTTAGATACCGCTGCCCCCTTGTTGACCACTTTTTCCGAGGTGAGCCATTGCATATGAGCAGCTGCTTCACGGTTTTATTTCCTCGTTAGAGCTGTTAACTCTGATCCAAAGCTACAAGCAAGGTATGCTAAATGTTCTGCTGCTGGCTGCAAGAGTGACCACAAGAGTCATCATGCACACCCAGAAACTGAGGAACTGAAGACCCAGTGGATTTGTTTTAGTGTTAATGTACCACAATAACCAATAAATAATCAGTGTCAACATGTTGCATGGCTAAAGTGACTAACCATTAGTCCACAGACAGTCAGAAGTGGTGGGAACTTAAAGATCAATTTGAGATGAATAAACACAGATTGAATGTGGGTTACTGTGTTTTCACCTTGAGTGCAGCCTAAACTCATACATCTGTTCTCTCTGTGCTCACATGTTCCGTATTTTAATAGAGCTGAATTCCCAATAAGGCTGCTTTCATTTACGTATTTTTATCCTTCTGTCAGACAATGGGACCTTTCACATATGCACTGTGGATATGAGTCATCCACTGTCATGTGTTATGAAAAAACAGACCAGCTGAAATTCTGAATTCGTAGTCAAGTTTAAGTTTGAAGGTTGGCAAAGTTACATTTTGAGACCTTAAATGTTTTGTCTCGGTTGTCATGCGTTTTGTGTGCACAGCTGAGCCGGTGAAGGTGGAGAGCTCCCTCCCACTCATTGAGGAGTTTGACAGCGATGCAGCGCTGGACAACAAAGAGTTGAGGAAGCAGCTCTGTCCATATGCTGCTGTTGGAGAGTGCCGCTACGGAATCAACTGCGCCTATCTCCATGGTGATGTGTGTGACATGTGTGGGCTTCAGGTGCTCCACCCCACTGACAACACCCAGCGGTCAGAGCACACGAAGGTAACCTGCTAGCGATGCACACGAACCACTACACTACTCAATTGTTAGAGATGGATTATTAAACTAAAACCAAGGAAGCTGAAACATTAACTGACAGAGTTACAATATCAGGGATTCTTTCACATAGAATATCTTCATCCTAACCAGTTGTAGAGGTTTCATAGTATTCATCCCTTTGGTCTTGGGGACTGTGTCAAATGACTCGATAATCCGACACTAAATGTAAAACCTTCTCTTATGTCGGATAGCAAGGCTGTCATAGTTGTTATAATAACCAGTAGGGCTGGTCCCAACAGCACTTTCTGCTCTCTGGATATTCAGGCCCAATTAATGATGAATATCCAAATATTCGGTGTGGTCGGGGGACACTTCCACCCCGGGGCAGCGCTCTGACAGGGTGGAAGTGTCCAGAACACACAGGCAGTACTTGGCTGCTGATGCTAGTTTAGTTAGCGCTCACACTTCTGTTTCCTCCATCGGTGGCGGCGGAGGAGTGGCAGATACGCTCCACCGTTACCATCCATGTTTACTTCCATAAACACTGAGCACGCTCGCTGCGTGTGACGTCGTCGTGTCCTCTTCTGCGCGTGCGGGACACTTTTGGGTCGTATGAAGTTCACACAGCAGATCACATACAAGTCGCATTGAACTGGAAATGTGAAGGAACTCACAAAGAAATCCTCATTGAGCATCAAGTCCTGCAGTGTGAACGTAGCCAATCTGTGGGATTGTTCAGTCAGATAATACACCGTGATCTTGATTGGTGACATTAAATGTCATATCGGAGTCAGAATCCAAGGCTGTCGCTATGTTAAGGCTGTTTTTATGGGTTCTGTTGGTTTTTACTAAAAACCTGTCGGATAGCAGGTTTAGGATTGTTAAGGGTCGGACTATCGAGTCACGACTGTATCTAGATTTCATAGCTACTTGTCTCTCTGAATTTCCTCCATGTCTCTGTATTATCAGCAATATGTAAATGGTTTTTATATATGTATGAATGTCTGACTCATCACCAGTTTTGCTGATATGTTTTACAGCTGGAGTTTTAGAAGCCATTCTCCTACCTACAAATGCAAGGGTCTGCATTGGTGGTTACGCGCTGCTTCATGTATTGGAGCTGCTTCCCTCTCAAAAAGCTCCCCAAAAAACAGGAACTCTGAAAAATGTATTTTAGTGCAGCCAACCTAATCGAATAAGATGTTCATTACATTGTTCCCTTTATTTGCGACATCTCTGCCGGCCCTGAGGTGGCTTCAGGTTTTTTAGTTGTGGTATCCTCTCCATAAGGCGTTTGAATCTGTCATCAGACTGTACAACTCCTTCACGTGGTAATCAACTTTAGAGAAGACATCGCACTCTGTTGGAGTTACAAAAACACTAAGGACCATGCAATGCTGTTGTAGAGTGTCACTAACAAACTTTGGCTGAACACTGTACTCAGACAATGAACACATGTATTTCTGGCTGATAACTAGTCACTGCTTATGAGGAAGAAAGGAGATGAATTTGTCACTAATCGAGTTATTCATGTCGCAGATTACTAAATATGTGTACTCCAGGTGTTGGAGCTCTGGGGTTTTGTACCTGTACCATTGCACTTTGAAAGTCTCTCTCAGTCATCAATCAAACCCCTAAAAACTATTTTTTTGGTATCGAAGTAACATTTTTAGAAGTTTGTTTTGATAAAAATAAAATCCCTCGTGCCTTTAAATGGCTTCCATGTAACTCTACAGCGCATTCAGAATATGCAGATCTATAATGTCATGCCTCTCTCTCCATCCACCCCTGAAGCACATCAACTCATCTACGAATCTGTTCAGACACCTTTACAAACCTCTACACTAAACAACGGCAAGCTGTAATATTGAAGTAATTCAGCCATACATGTTCAACTGGAGAGCGACTGTATAGATGTTTAATGACACAGAAAGCCTCACCCTGGATTACATATTATTATATATTTTTATCACAGGATTAGTTTCTTAGGTTTGTTCTGTATGAAACCCTGCAAGTCTGAGTCCTTGTTGTTGAGTATCCCATCGTTATGATGTGGTTTTGAGGTGGAAATCACGGACTGTGATACAGCAGTAGTACAATGGATGAACCCTCTGTGGTGTCAGTGTGGTGGTTCTGGCCATCACCATCTTGGCTAACAACACTTTTCCTGACTGATAGCTAATTAAAAAACGAGCAAAGAGGTGGAGTGTGCGGGGAGCTGAGGCAGCCCATGGATTGTGCCGTGACAGTACCCACCTGTCACTCAAAGCAGCCATGCTCTTAAGTCTGCATAAGTTTTAATACAATTTAAATGGGTGAGTTATGTTTTTTTTAAAAAACACCATACAGTTGTCATGAATGGGGAAAACTAGCTTCTTTTTTTTTTAACCGTTTTTTGTACCAGGCTGGAAGCACATGTATTTATGTTGTTAAGCTGACCATTGTGTTCCATGGGGATTGTGTTGGTTTTGGAGTAAGCCTCAAGTGGCCTTTCAGGGAACTGTTTTTGGCACTTCCATGTTGCCTTGGAGCTTACTGCTTGTTAGAACTTCTCAGGCATGGTGCTGACTCATGGTTAAGTCCTCTCAGCTGTTGTAAGGTCCTGCATTTCTTCTGGTGCATTATCTGACAGCCTCAGCTGACTGGAACAGCAGTTAAGTGACAAAATGGTCTATGGCGTTATGGCATAACTTTTTCCTCTTCTAGGCGTGCATTGAAGCCCACGAGAAAGACATGGAGATTTCATTTGCCATCCAACGCAGCAAGGACATGATGTGCGGTGTGTGTATGGAGGTGGTGTTTGAGAAGGCCAACCCAAGTGAACGCCGTTTTGGCATCCTCTCCAACTGCAGTCACTGCTACTGTCTAAAGTGCATTCGCAAGTGGAGGAGTGCCAAGCAGTTTGAGAGCAAAATCATCAAGTGAGTTGACTTGCCAGTTATTAACTCGAAAGAGAGAGACAATCTGTGAAGTGTAGGTGAGATCTGTCGTCAATTTTTGCTAGAGATCTTCAAATGTTTGTAAATCATGTGGTTTTCTTGAGTTTCAGTGTGAACAACATCACAACCAGAAAATTTGCAAAGCCCATGTGACTGTCTAAAGAAACCAAAGGGTTAATTAAAAGAGACTTCTCAGTTGCCTGTGCACCTCAGAAGTCTTAACCAATAAATGCTTTAATTATTAGTATTTTAAACAAAATCTGCTGATGTCTAAGTTTCTTAACATAATCAAGATGATTTGAATGCTGTTGCTACCGTACCTGTATTGAGCTGGTGCTATTTTAGTTTTAAAATGTGGCTTTCTGCAGACCTTCAAATGGAAGTTTTTCACTTCTAACTGTATTCCAGTTTGCCTTCGGTTTGCATCCATTAGTAGCCACAGTGAACGTACAAACTGTGCTACAGGATGTGTCTTTTTAGTGGCTATACTTGCAATGCATGTACTGTGTAGTACTGCAGATAAAACAGGACAACAAGCTTTTATCTTGGAGAAGTAAGGTCTTAGGTTCTGGACCCAGCACAGTGCTGTGAAGCTTTCTGTTTGAACGTGTGAAATATGGGTAAGCTAGTATCTACTGCTAGTAGACTACAGTAGACTCTGTAAGGATGAAGTCACTGTCAGCCTGGAGCGACTGCAAATACTTACTGACAAACTGATCAAAACTCCAAAACCGAATTCCTGTTAGTTACAGAACAGCAGTTTACTCTATACCGGAGGTTTTATTTAAAGCAAACAGAAACAATGTTACGTATTACATTTTTTCCAGGGGGTTTGTTTTGTGTTTAAAAATGTGTTTTTGCAGGTCCTGTCCAGAGTGCCGAATCACATCCAACTTTGTCATCCCAAGCGAGTACTGGGTGGAAGATAAGGACGACAAACAGAAACTCATCCAGAAATACAAGGATGGCATGGGGTACAAAAAAACATATCTTACACTTAGTTACCTCAGAGAACCACATCCATATACTCTGGTCACAAACCTAAAACAATGAGAGTATGCACTGAAGCCTGATTTCTTGCAGTAGACAACATGCCAAGCCATGTTTTGTCCAGTGTGGGAAGGTGACAAAGATGTTCTACATCCGTAAGCTTCACTAAAGCTGAAGCTGTTTTTTGTTCTTTTTTAAAAGGCATTTAATAAGTTAAAGTGCTGCAAATTGTGTCTGCTAAAGCTGGCTGATTAAACAGTTATAGCATCAGCAATTAAAAATGTAATATTTTTTTCCTGCAGGATGTAGCAGACAGATATTGAATAGGAAGCTGTGGTGGGTGGATGTGATCAGACTCATCAGTGGGATGGTGAATCTGCAGGGGAATGGGCAGCAGGGGTGCTGGCAGATATAGGTTCAAAGAAAACTGTCTGATGCAGACCTCAACTCTGAAAAGTTTTCAAAGCTCTTCAGTTAATTTATTGAAGTTCAACTTAAAAAAAAAAACAAAAACAAACATGGACACTTAGTTCCTCTGCTGTGTTTTCGGGTTTTTGTTTCAGTCTAGATGGTCTAACTTGCTGCCTTGTTCTTTGGTGTCCTAATGTCTTCTCCAGGACTAAACCATGTCGATACTTTGATGAGGGTCGTGGAACCTGCCCTTTTGGCTCAAACTGCTTTTACAAGCACGCCTTTCCTGATGGACGGCTGGAGGAAGCTCAGCCTCAGCGAAGACAAACCGGATCCAACAGCAGGAACCGGGTAACAGTTCTCACTTCCTCATAAAATACTGTCACCAGAGACAGTTCTGCTAAATGCATATTAGTTTTCAGTAACCGTAGTTCGATACTTTTCTAAAAAGAATGAATAGAAGAATGGACCCTTTTCAGAGTGTGGCTGTTCACAACAGGCCCTTTACAGCTAGCGTCTGCTTCCAGAACCACTCCTTTAAACAGCCAACTCTCTGACATGTTCACAACTCCACCAGCAAAACATCTGAAATTCAAATTGCTAACCAGCCACACAAACTACCTGAAGGAGAAGACAGATACAACATCATGTCACTAAGTTGGCCAGTTATTGTTATCGCCTTAACTGATGGATCTGGGAAACAATCGGCACACCTTGGCCAGGACTCGTGCATGGAATCGTAGCTAGGTACAAAGGACTTCACAGCATGTTTCTCATTCTCATTCTCTCATGAGAATGGTGGCAGAGCTGTCATGCACGGTGCCTGCGGGCCACCAGGAGCAGCTTTGGGTTCAGTGCTCTCTTAGGTATGTGGGGAAGCCATGGATCAAAGTGCCAACATTCTGGTTAGTGGACAGGCTGCTCTACCACCTGAGCCACAGCCACACACTATTTGGATGTGTTTATATGCAACCACGTCGATCAAACAGAATTGCTAAGACACTTTCGGCATGTCTCTACTGGGATTTTGGACCATCCCTCTTTCGATCTCCAGGTCTTTGAAATTGGAAGCCTTGCATCCACAGTGCACAACCAGAGGTTTGGCTTTAGCCATGACTTGCAATTGACTAGTAAGTGAGCGGGGAACTGCTGCACTGGAATTCACTTTCAACTACAACCGCTTAGCCAGATGACGGTACAGTGGGCATTGCACTTCCTTAGGTCACCAACAATATCAGAAACAAACTTTGTGATATGTGGGAACATAAAGTCCATATGAAAAATAGTGTAATTGGGTCTGCTCCTGTTAATTTAAAGACATGTAAAGACTTTTAATCATTAATTAGTGCTTCTATCTGGTCCCTCAGTGCTCATGGTTTTTAATTCTAATCTCATAAGGTCTATTTGAATCCAGTTTTTCATATTTATTGTACAGTTGAAACCACAAGTTTACATCCACCACATAAAAAGACATAAAACCTTTTTTTTTTTCTCACTATCATGACTGACATTAAATCAGACTAAACTTTTCCTGTTTTAGGTCAGTTAGGATCACCAACATTATTTCTATTTGCTAAATGCCAGAACCTTCCAGCCCATGTCGGTACAGGACTGGTTCCACTGTGGATAATGACTCTCTGACCAGCTTCAGCAGCATCTTCACAAGGTCTTTAGCGTCTGTTCTGGGGTTGATTCGCACATTTCATCCAGAACACTTGATCTCTGGGACACAGAACCGTCTCCTTCCTGAGCGCTGATAGAACTGTCTGAACAGATGAACGTGGAACCTTCAGGCTTCTGGACATTGTACCCAAGGATGAACCAGACTGGTGGAGGTCCACAGCTCTCCTCCTGATACCTTGGCTGGTTTCTTTAGATTTTTCTAAACACAAAAGGAAGCAGTGTGTTGAAGGTGTGCCTTAAAATACATCCACAGGTGTGCCTCCAGTTAACTCACATGTTGTCAGCTAACCTATCAGAAGCTTCCAAAGCCATGACATGACATCATCTGGGCTTTCCCAGATAGTTTGTGGCATAGTAATCTGAGTGGATGTCAACTTCTGACTTTGAAGAAAGTAATAAAAAAAACTACTCTCTCATTATTCTGACATTTGGCAAATACAAGTAATGTTGGTAATCCTGACTGACCTACAACAGGAAAAGTTTAGTCTGATTTAATGTCAGACAGTGAGCAAAAAAGGTTATACGTCCTTTTATACAGCATGTGACACAAAAAATCTTTTTAGCCTTAAATTCCAGCAGTCACACATGCATGTGTTTTTTTTTTTTTTATTGAGACTACTGTTCTATGGAATGTTCAAGACATTAATACAAAGCTAAGAATGTAAAAAAAAATAACAATCTAGTGTACACATATTGTTGTACTTGGTCCAAAGGATTACTTCAGTCAATATTGTGACAATATCAAAATAAAGAAGCTGTAAGTCGGTTTTAAAACTCTCTCTCTTACTTTAGAACTCGAGGCGAACGCCACTGTGGGACATCTTCGACGAGCAGGAAAGCACCGACTCCTTTGACAACGAGGACGAGGAGATGGTGACGTTTGAGCTGAGCGAGATGCTTCTCATGCTGCTCGCTGCAGGAACCGATGATGAGGTGACAGATTCTGAGGATGAATGGGACTTGTTTCATGAGGAGCTGGACGATTTCTATGAGATTTACCTATAGCATCCCCCATCCCCTCCCCTAACCCGATTAATGTATACTAGACACTAGAATGGACTGTCTTGTGTGAGTGATGGACAGTAGCTTTCCCCTCCACCCTCTGTATTGTGGCAGTGCCTTTAAGCAGGCCATTAATAAATGAACTTATAAAAGATTAAAAAAAACAAAAAAAAAGGACAAAAAAAAAAAAAAAGACAAAAAAATCCAACAAGTCAGTGCACTCGTGCTAAACATTTTCTAAACATCTATCCTTGTGAGTCTTTCTTGTGCGGTTCATGTTAAAAGGAAAAATGATAAGAAGAACTCAATATAAGATTTAACAAGAATTATAACTTTCATCAAAGAATAAACATTGTCAAGTTTATTTGTGGGTGTGGGTTTGACTTGTTTCTCATCAACCCAGGTGTTTGTACATACTTCTGAGACTCTGAGGATGCACTCAAACTTACTCAGCACCATTTACTGTAATCCTCACGGGCATGTTGTAAGATTTTACAGTTTTTGAAGGCCGGTACTTCTTTTTTGTTTTTGTTTTTTTCTTTTCCTTTATCAAAGCAGCTGATAGCCAATTTATTGTGCTGATGTTTAATAAATTTACCATCATCATTTTCATGTTGTTCTGAAAAGTATTTCTGTGCCCTCTATAGTTTTATATTATTTCTTTTCCTTAAAAGGCCTTTTCTTTTAGGGGGCATTTGAATCATAATGGAAGTCTGTTAGGTCAGACAAGGCAGCCATCTTTGTTACCCTGAAACTTCACTAAGCAGCTCATACAGTTCTTTACAGAAAGAATGTAAATAAAACCTGAGGTTGACAGTCTTCTTAGGGACTTGAAAGGTGGGAAAAAAACAAAGTCAGAGTCCAGAAGTCTACGACTTAGAATTTCTTTTAAAGATAAAGATAAGATAGATAAAGAGACTTTATTGTCATTGTGCAGAAGTACAACGAAACTTGTGTGGAAGAACACGACAATAGCAGTACATTCAGCTGAAGGAATGTATCGATCCAAATAAGGCCCAGTGTGCTTCTGAGCTTGTAAAATGATGCTGAGTAGTCATCTCCAAGCCTGTTTCATACAACCTTCTGTAAACCTGTGGCAAAAACTGCGTGAGAATTTCAAGTTGGCCAGTGTGTTAGAAAGACGTGGCCTAAGAATATGTGCACAAACCAATACTCAGGTTATACAAAGGCAGACAAAAAAAACAAACATGTTCTTGGTTTTAAAAATGAAAACACTTTTTCCTGGTCTTGGGGAAGGCTTTCTGTTGATTTAAGTTGTGCATAAAAGGTTTTAGGTTTTAAATATAAATCTTTTCTGCACATTTTCCAACTCCACATGCTGAATTTTCTCAGAAGGTTTAGAAAGGAAAGTCTACAGCCTAGACTCTGAAATAAAATTTCTCACAACGACGAACGTGAGCCCACAGAGGCCTGCTCACAAACTGTGCACTCGGTGCTTCCAGTGGTGGCTGTACTACTGAAACACAGTCTGATCAGTTACAACATGAACCCACCTGCCTCGTATTGTGTAGGTTCTCCTCCCGCCACCAAAGCAGACCTGACCCATCGTGGACAGGGGACCTCTGATGGTCCCCTGTGGTGTCTTGCACTGTGGACCCTTTGGGTCCTTTTGGGTTTCGGTTTGGGCTCTCTGTGGATAGAGCTCATTTCAGCACATCCTATTCATGCCCATTCAAATTGCAGTCTGAGGAGTTTGAAAGATGGGCCAACACCTTATATTTTTTGGGGGGGTTCCTTGAACCATTTTGTAGTGCAGCAGGGTGCACTGTCCTGCTAGGGGAGGACCTTTAGGTGAGTGGTGCATATTAAATGCCAGTACCCAAAGTCTCCCAGCAGAACATTGTGTTGCAACAAGAAGATAAATATTATTCACTGACCTGTCAGTGGTGATAGTGTTGTGGCTGATCGATGTATGTTTTAGCCACCAGCAGACTAATCATGTTATGAGCTGCTCAGTAGCTGAAGTGTCTGAGTTACAGAGGTGATGATCTCATACAAAAGTACTCCTATAGTGAAGTAGTCTGGGAAACAAACTGCCTTTGAAAGAGGATGAATTTAATGTACAATTATCAGGTTTCCAAATGACCTGACTTTGATCAGGGCTCTTCATGCAGCTTGGTATAAAAGTCCAACTGGCTCCATACATCAGCAAACTGCTTCATCGATCAAATAAAGAAGACTGACCAATTAATTTGAAATCTTTTCCCTTCCTCCATCCTGAATATCAGCCTCGAGGGACACCTTTGGTACCAAAAGACAAATCCTCCTCTGAACCAAGCGAAAGAGTCACCACAAAAGATTCAAACGTCTTCAGCAGACTTAAAGTGCAGAGAATCATGGAGTGGAGAGACATTTTGCGTCCTATAACAAATGCACAGTGTTAAGTGTACATTCACTGTTCGCTGTTGGCTTCACTGAATATAGCATTTTAAAGCTTTGCTGCTGAGATGCTCAAACCACAGACTCCTGACAGCTGGTGCCAACCTGTTAACCTCCGTTGGAATGCATATGTTTATACTGAAATGTGTGTTTTCTATGTTCCACAGCTATCCATCTTAACTTGAAATTAAAGTTTATTATCAATCTCTGCATTGCATGAAGTCTAAATTTCTTGGCTTGTCACGTTTAAGTAAAATCATGAAAGGATTCCAAGTTTAAAGTTGTGTTTAGTGTTTCTACTTAAAGTTTCTAAGGCCTAACATCTTCTAGTTGTTAATCATACTTAAAAATATAGGTTGCAGTTTTAACAATGTATGTCAATGTTGTGTTTTCAGCTTTTTCAGGCTGCCCCCTAGTGGCCAGACATTATCATAAGCGAATGCTCCTTTAATTAGATGTACTGTAGGACACTGCTGAGGGTTTAAAACGCTGTGATCAGCTCATGACAACAGGTGTACTGCTATTTTCCAGTTCTACTGATCTGAGTAGTGAATGAGGTGTAACTTCAGATTGAAGGTGCTAAAGTTTTCTTTACCCCACATTATTTTTTTTACCAGAGCAAAAATCACGACACTTCAAGATTTGAGCTTAAAAAGCAGCAACTCTGCCATCACATAACTTCCACTTTCACAGTATTAATACTCTAGTTTGAAAAACTGCTTATGATTAGATGCTCCATCTGACATTCAGCTAGTCGACAAGACAAAGCATGTAAACTGTAATGTGGGATTGTTATTGGCTGTAAAGAGCAAAAAGCCATTCATAGACGATAGTCAGTGTACTGCTAGAGCAAGCAGTCCTGAGTACTGCTTCAGTATAACACTGTTGTAACCCAAAGAAAGACTTTGTTGATCAAGGAATTATCACATAATTTATATATATATATATATATATATAAATAAATTTTGATTTCTTCTGTTTGTGTGGGCTGAACGCAAGCATTCAAAGCTGAATGAATCCAACAGCTGGTATCATCATTACAATCACTTAAAGTATTGCAGCATAACTCAACAATAGATAATAATGAGCTCCAATAAATTTCAGTCACACAATAACCTGCAGCAGTGCGACTTAAATGTGGATCCAATCTGCTTCCTGTTCCCTCTTTCTCCATTCTTTCCTGTTATGTTCACAGCTTAAGACTCTAGAGTTTATAGTTTCAGACTCTACAGTTATATAACTGCTGGGCTGCCTGTCAAATATGAGATGCACCATAGGGTACAATGAGAAAAAGAACATATGGATAGTCTAGAAGAAATGTATCAAATGTACATGTTCATTATACCCGTTTACCTGCGATCAGAGGTGGGAAGTAACCAAGTACAAATACTCTGTTACTGTGCTTCAGTAGAGTTGCAGGTATCTGAACTTTACTTGAGTATTAATGTTTCTGACGACTTTCAACTTGGACTCCCTACATTTGAACACAAATATCTGGACTTTCTGCTCCTCACATTCTCTAAACTGGCTCGTGACTTGTTTCAGCCTCCGTGGATGACGACATGACGTAAAAGACGTAACAACAAACGTCTTTATCTTTCCCAGCAGTGTGCAGTTTGTCCCTGAAGCTCAACACAGCCCTGCCTGCCTCAGCTGCCTGCCAGAGGCTGTTTAGCAGTGCAGGACTGATGTTCAGACCCAAAAGGGCCCGTCTTCATCCAGAGACCTTTGAGAACCAGCTTCTGCTGAGGCTCAATAACACATGTTGGGAGTCTTGAAGAGACGAGTGTTTCCATGTCGATGATAATGTTTATTGTTCATCATGTTGCTGAAATGGAAAACTCTGTAGCAGCACTGTGCAGCTTCTTAAAGGATGAAAACAATCCTAGTTTGTGTGCTTAAAGCTTTTCTCATTTTGCAGAGTTATCAAAGAGGCATCGAGTATCATCGAAGCTAAAAGTTCATTCTTATTTTTTATTTTGTACTTCAGTAGAAGTAGAGCTACTGTGTAAAAATAGACTCTGGTAAAAGTAGAAGTACTGATTGAACACTTTTACTCAAGTAAAAGTAAAAAAGTACAGGTTTAGAAATGTACTTAAGAGTGTGAGCACTTTTGCCATCTCTGCCTGTGATGCTGATGACCTTTTTCTAAAAAAAAGAAAGAAAGAAAGAAAAAATACACTTCAGTCACATTAAACGTTTCCTCCAAGAGGAGTCAGGACTGTTCCTCCAGTGTTCAGTGTTCCTACAGCAGCCAGGGCGCCCACATCCATCCATGTAGCTGCAAACACAAGTTAGACAACAAAAAGTTCACACACCAGTTAGTGTGATCCATAAAGCTGCAGCTATCTGCCTATCAGCAGTTTCCCTGAGGTTTCTACCAACGGGATCAATAAAGTTCTATTCTGTTCTATCTGTTGTCTCTATAAGTTATGTGACCCTACTTCAACGTGCCCTTTATTTTCAATACGTGTACTCACTGATCCAAAGCAAATGAGCAGATGAAGCAGCAGCAGCTGGTCCATTCCATCAGAATCCATGCCTTTGTTTGGGCTCGGCTCTTTCCCTGCACCTTTAAAAGCATCAGGAAGGAGGAAAAGGAGAGAAAGGGAGGCGACCGAACAAATACAATGATCGCTGGAACCGGGAACGACATTCCGAAAACCGATTCTCTCCGATCAGAAGCGAGCTACTGCCCAGACTCCACCGACTCCTCTTCCTCTGAAGCTGGCCAGCTGAGCAGGAGGCGGGACACCCAGACCACCAGCGGTAGCATCGTCCCGGAGGAGAGCGGCAGCATCCAGCCCCTGGTCTCCTCGTCCGCAGCCGCCGCCTGCATCATGACATCGGGGGAGTTCATGCAAACCGCTCCCCTGCTGGCGCACAAGTCCAAGAGGAGCCTGCTGTACAAGGCGCTCTGCTTCCTCCTCCTCATATTCCAGGGCGGCATTCTGGACTTCTACCTCATCATTTTCACCGACCTGTACTGGTGCTCATGGATCGCCACGGACCTGGTGGTGATTTCAGGCTGGGGGATTTTCTTCATGAAGAACGCGCGGAGTAAGAGGGAGCGGGCCTGCGGCTTCCACCAGAAGAGCTCCATTTTCGGCTGCAATCTGGGGGAGTTCACCTACGCCTACCTGGCCTGGCTCATCTATGTCATCGCCTGCACTCCGAAGGTGGTGCTCATTCTGGAGACGTCCATTCTGGACCTGATCGCGCTCAAGGTCCCGTGCGGAGTGACCGGCTTCAAAATCATCATGCTGCTGTCCGCGCCGCTGCTCTTCTGCCTCATCAACTCCATCATAGAGGATTTAAACGGCTCGACGAGGCACCACTCCCAGAACTGCTTCATGGGCACCTGCCTGGATCTGCTGGACAGCTTCACGCTGGTGGAGATGTTGCTGAGGAACGAGATCCCCACAGTGTACCTCAAGTACACCGTCATCTCGGTGTACTTCGTGGCCCTGGCCGTGCCGGTGATCTGGCTCTACGAGCTGACGGCGTCGGAGCTGCGCTGCAGGTGGCTGTGGGCCCGCTTCTCCACCGGGCTGCTGGTCAACGCGCCGCTGCTGGTGGTGAGGTGTTTCCAGGTCTACGTCTACAAGACGTCGGTGTCCGTATTCATGTTCAAAAACATCTTTTTCTTGGCGTGTAAGTTGCTGGAGCTGGTGGAGCAGTGTGTGGCGGTGCGAGGGGTGCGCAGGCTGGCCGGCAGCAGTAACCCGGCCCAGTTCTCCCACTGCGTGTCCGAGAACGACATGTGTCCGCACGGATATGTCAACACCCTGGCCGTGACCCAGTCCTAGAGCCCGGAGCCGTGGGCCTCTGCTGGCACAGTGGAGAAGTGGCGATGCCTTCTAGACACAGGTGGAAACTGGGAAATCCCAAACACAGCCCCAACCAACCTCTGCCCAGATAGTGGCTTTGAAAAAGCAAACCAACAAAACCAAGCGACAGGTCAGGATGAGGTCGCAGCAACAGAACAGCTTAGAGAAGAGAAGCCTGTCTGGGCAGTAGCATGATTATGTAAATCGCCTCCACACTGAAATGACAAATTCATTCTGCAGACACTCCAGTTGTCTTAGTTGCTTCTGCCTTCAGCTCAATACAGCAGCACGGCTGGATGAACCTGTGAGCCCCCTCATGGCACTCAGTGTGGTTATATGACTAAACCTGCTCTTGGTTCTTTACTTACCTTTTAAAATGAAGTAAAATTAAACTAGATTTTGACACTGGAGCTCTTTAAATGAGGGGTCTTGGATGGCACTGGGGCCTCCAGCAGTGCCACATAACACATTGGAGATAGTTTTTATTCTAAATTGCTATTCATAAACATGTCTGCTTCTTTGTGGATTACCCACGGTACGAAGGACACCATTCATGGCAAGACATGTTGCTTCAGATCTTTAAAAATATGAAAATAAACTGAATGATATTCACCTTTGCACATTGGGGTGAAGGCAGAACTTTAAATATTTCCAAATTTTAACAAATTCTACCAAAACTATCTGAGGGTTTAGATTCCTGCAAGGGAGGGAGTCTCTTTTTTGTTGTTGTGTGGTAAACGGACCCTATAAAGAATATACATTGTTTGTCAAGAGCAATACAAAGCAACAGAACAAAACTGCAATATTAAGCACTGCAGCAGAAAAAGATCAACTCAAACACACCTCAAAGTTCTTAATAGTATAGTTACACCAAGGACTGGCTGTGACTCATGTCAGTGCAACATCCTGGATATATTTTCTGTTTTGGTATAAAATAACACCATTCTCTAACACACATCTGTCATCAGCAGTTTTAGATGCTGCCAAAGCACCATCTGCAGGGCAGAAGTAACCTGATATGGAGCCATGGGGTAAAACTCAGCTTGGGCCCCTATTGATCAAGTACTTGCAGTTCTACAGTGTATCCACATTGTGCCAATCATTAAGAAAGGATCCAGTGATTATATAAAAATGCTGGAACCACGTTAGGGGCCCTTTTCATTTAGTGGCGCACATTGCCAAATAACCTTGGAATAAATCCAGTTACCACAAAGTAAGTATTACGATGCATTCAAGATGTCTTCGGGGCTTTTGAGAGTTAGGGGTTACCCACCTGGTGCTACAGGTGTGACCAGCTGTGTTAGTCAATACCACATAGCATTTATGGGTAATCTAACATAATGTGAGGCAAAAAAACACCCCAAAAACCAACTATTTATTGAGTCATTTTACAGGCTAGAACCGTCTTCGAAGCAGTCGTATATGTTGCTATGTTGCAATGATTGTCTACTAACTGCATCTCTGAAAGCTTGGCGCTGATGAAACTTTCTGAGGTTTCCACTTGGAGTTCTGACTTTCGGGGCAGATGATTTTCTACATGCCCAGTGGATTTTCCTGTTTTTGAACATGTCTGGTGTCATCTGTACCAGCCTTACAATGTTCCCTCTCCAGACCGGTCGACAGGTGCTACAGTCAGAACCAACACCTGCAACAGCCTACAACAGAGCACCAACTACCATGTACTGAAACTTTTTCGTTATGTGTGTCAGTCTGTGAGTTTCACTGCAGTACTTTAATGGAAAACAGGGGGACAATGTGTAGATTTGAGTGGCAAAGTGCAATTTGAAGAATCTTTGGGTTTACTCCTCACAGCTGGGCTCTGCTTCTCCTCTGTACATTAGTGTTTTCTATTGATGACAGTGTTGTCTCCTGGTCTGTGCTGGTTCTACAAGCTGTGTCTGGTACTGAGAGTAGAGTAGACGTGTGTAAGTTAATGCCATGCTTAAATACCCAACAGTGCCATGACAAACAGGTTTACTACAGTCCTTTTCAAATGGAACCCTGTCTAGCAGCAGTTTCCGTGCTACTGTTTACTGTGCTGCCAACTTGTGTCACTTTTTTGATTGAGTCCTAAAAGATCACAGGCTACTACTCAAGCCTTGATGATACTATTAATTCAATTCAATTCAATTTTATTTGTATAGCACATATTTACAACAACAGTCATCTCATAGCGCTTCACAAAGGCAGAGACAGAAACACCCAACAATCCAGAACATCTGGATTCCCTATAAGCTTCAGCAGTCCGCAACAGTGGGAAGGAACCGAAAACCCCCACAGGGGAAAAAAAACCTCAGACAGAACCAGGTTCAGGGAGGGACGGCCATCTGCCTCCACCGGTTGGGTGAGAGTGGGATGAATTATAACATTTAGTTTACAGTTAAACAAGTTATTAGAAGTGATTGTCCTTTTGTAACAGGAGGCATCATGGTGGGGCAGCAGGATGCAGAAGGTGAGGCCAGCGGCTGTAGTTCAGGAGCTCCAGATCCAGAGACATCCACATCTATTATACTCCTTTGTGGATGCACACATGGACACGACGGGCTCATACTTATTATTATGCTACTTTTCGATTCTGTGCGAGGGCACTTATAAAACTCTGCTCCATACATGTGCAATAGGTCACATGTTCGCATCCCACACAGATACATTACAGTGGAGCATGCATCACTGTTGACCCATGTAGTCACCTGTACGGACACACATTTTGAGCTGCACACAGAAGTCCACATAGACACAGACTTGAGGAAAAGCTCATACCTACTATCCAGAAAATCTCAGCAGACTGAAAAAAATCTGTGTCAGTTTCAACCCACCTGTGGAAAAGCTCTGGAACTCCATTTGTGTTACTTTCTTCATACTTCATAATATATGGAATCCCATTTCTCTCAAGGAAATCAATTAAAAATTGGAATGTTTTCACAAGGTCACAAATCTTTTACTAATTAAAGTCAGTTATGAGATACGATGTCAGAGTCACAGTCTTGACAAGTATCACAGCAAAGACTGCATGAATTAGATAAGCAATGGTTGAAATGTGTTAAGTCACAGTGAGGAACACACAAGGACAAATGCCTTTAATTTAGTTCTGCGGGGCCTTTGTAGCTTATTTTTGCGAGCCTGGTGTGAGCAGGTAGATGTTTTCTGTGAAATGAAGACCCATGGATGTGATGCAATGAAAAGCTTTGCCCAGTGTATTCTCTGTGGTTTAGAAGTGCCTCTCAGAGCATTGTGGGACGGGAGGCTTTCTGTTTGGAGAATGTTAGTGTTATAATATCTGGGTTCCCTCCTTCAATGCGCCATGCCTTCAAAATAATAGAAATCAGAGAGACAAACGAGCTCTTTCACACATTTGAAGTGTTTACATGTGACGTGTGTAACAGCTTTAGATGAATTTAAGAAAAAGTCACTTTGCATCCAGCTTTCAGGGGCAACAAAACAAAGCAAGCAAAACACAAAAAGGTCAGTTTTACTCATTGCAATCTTCTTTCTTTCTTTTTTAAAAAAATCATCCCTGGCTGTAGTTTGTGTGATTACACGGTGGAAATGGGCTTCCATATCATGCAACATCCCTCTCCTCCTGTTTTTGTGCTACAAACAATTTTAACAGACTTGAAAAAAAGAAACTGTAACCATGATATTGTTGGCTCAGGTACATCAGGAAACACAGCTTTACCTACAGGCATCAGACCATTCTTGCCGCAATAAGACAGGATGAGCTGTTTGCTGAAACACAATGACCTTTGTTCATGTTTTCTGATGTCTCCTTGGGCACAAGTCCAGCTGCATGTTATCTCCATAACACCACAAAACATTTACTGCCAACAGTCAATGCTGGTTCTTAATCACTCTAAATCTTTACTACAGGCGAGCCTGATTGGAAAATATTTTATTTTTGTCTAATTGTCATGAGGGTTGCTGGAGGAACTGATGTACAATATTGTACAGCCAGCAAGTGTGTCAGATCAGCAAACCTTGTCTGGGTCATTGTCAAGTCCTTGGTGCAGTGATTGCATGTGGCATCTCCAAAGGTGTGTCTTCATGACATTAAAGGTCTGAGCTGAGCTAGCAGTCTCCCCCTGCCTCCAGCTTTTACACTAAACTGAGCCTGACAGATCCCAGACAGACAGAATAAACCCATCCATCCATCATCTCTACACCTTAACCCTCACTAGGGTCATGGGGGGCTGGAGTCTATCCCAGCTGACTCAGGGTGAAGGCAGGTTCACCTGGACAGGTAACCAGTCTATCACAGGGCTACACTTAGAGACAGACAACCAAGCACACTCACATTCACACCTACGGACAATTTACAATCACCAATTAACCTCAGCATGTTTCTGGACTGTGGGAGGAAGCCGGAGAACCCGGAGAGAACCCACGCTGCGCGGGGAGAACATGGAGACTCCACGCAGGAAGATCCCGGGTGTCCTCACCGGGACGTGAGCCGGCGACCTTCTTGCTGCGAGGCAACGGTGCTAACCACTGAGACACCTGCAGCCCACAGAACAAACGAGGATAGCTGTCGCATGAAATAATTCATAGACCACTTAAACAAATAAAAAGTGACACAAATACATGTTATCTAACTACTTCTGGTGAAAACCCATTTTTCAGAGTGTGTGTAATACTTACACACTGATGACTTGAAGTGGGAGAAACCAGGTGTTGCTGGGATTAACAGAGGTGACTACAAACTCCCTCTAACTGGGCCAGCACATGGTTTACTAGACTGACACTCTGTCTTTGAACCATGGGAATGCCATGGCATGATGACTGTCCTCCATCATTGAGCTCTTCAGTAAGCTTATAGTCTTTTTGTATTTAGCACACGACTGATTTAAGTACATTCAGTCAGCACGTGGCTGAAGAGGGTGTACAGAAATGACAATAGTAATCAAATCTGAAACTTATTTTAGTGCCTATTGTTTAGGAGATGAATGAAATCATTGTCCAGTGCATAATCACAGTGAGGTTATCAGTGCAATTCCCCAGCTTTGTTTGCTTTTCTGTGAGTGATTAATGCCTGCAGGTCAGAGGCTATAGTTTTTGTGCCTTGCTTGCAGAACTGCTGAGGGGTCCAGACTGGCAAGGAGGAGAAAATACCATAAAGACCAGATATTTGCCAAAACTTTCTCTCTTTTTTCTACACATCATGACGACTTTACTGTTGTGTTTGCCACTTTCCAGGCAGCCAGCGGCATCTCGTTCATTTAGTACAACTTTGAAATGAAACTTGCTGATTTAGCACCTGCTTAAACCATCGTGTCAAATTTTTTTGTCAATGCTGAGCAACGCTTTTTCAGTAATGCATAACTGAGAGCAGATTGATTTGAAAAGTCTGGAAGGCATGCCATCTGACCAGTGGTGTGGTTTAAGTCCTTTAGTTCCACTGAAGGGAAACACACACTATACGCTGACATTTCAGGGTGTAGATTTATCCAACCGTCTTTGTTTGAACATGACAATACCGCCATGCACATATGTTGCAACATAAAGAAATGGGTTTCTCAGTCTGTCGTTGGAGAACTTGACCTCAGCCGTGTCAAAAATCTTCCGTCAGTCAATATCAGTGCATATATGCTGTAGGATGACAGTAATGCAGATTAAATCATAGACTGTATAAAAGATGGACGTAGCCACCGTGACATCACCCGTTGGTTTCTGCACTGAGAAAATGAAGCCAGGGTTTTGCTACTTCCTGGTTGACATCTTGGATTTTTGGAGCCAGTGACGCAAAGTCAGTGCAGTTTGTCCAGAGGACAGCCACAAGTACACGTTTGTACGTAAAAAGGTCCAACATGTAAAAAAAAAAACCAAGAGTAACTTGCCACCAAGTCATATAATGTTTCACTCAGTCCCAGCAGTGCTATTACAGAAGTGATGTAGTTTATCCTGGTTTCAGGCCATCTTCTGTATTCTACATTGAGATTAGAATCGTACATGAAGAGCTTTAAGAACAAAATGTATTTATACCCTAATGTGGGTAGTTTTCTTCAGACTTGTTGAAGGAACTTTTAAATTATTTCTATGCAGGAAACACAAGGAAATGTTTAAAGCACTGGAGTTCCAGGAAGACAAGAGAACTGTGCTAACCCTATTGGCTGCCTCTGTACCAGGATAAATAGACAAATGGGAGAGATTTGACCTGCAGCTGTCAGATACTAAAATGTAGGTCAGGTGGTGTCTCCCATTTTGTCCCCCTAAGGTTTCATCTTTAGGTCACATGATCTCATATCTTTATGACAAAAACTATCTTTTGATAAAACTGGGATCTTGTATTATTTCAGATTTTCCATTGAATTGGTGGTCAGTAACTCTGCAGACATCACACAGCTTTGAGGTTGACCCTGATGACCTCTCTGTGGAGGAACCAGAAAGACATGTTTGGTGGTGGTTCTCAGTACTTTGTTTTTCATATTGCACTGGGAGCTTAACAGTATTCATTGCTGATCATATCTTGCCAAAGTAATTAAATGGTTATATTTTATACTATTTTGTATTGTTTCCTTGTGCCAGTAATCTACTAACCTTTGTATAGGTATACAATGCTGCTGGAAAGGCTCTCTAACAATCTTCATTTGGATGACTGGAGTTTACCGCACAGTTTAATCCCAAGCAGGACCATATATTTACATTAAACCTAATTATAGTAGGCCTTCAACCTGCATGAACAAGCGCAGTGCGTAACACCACTCAAGCTACCAAAGGCTTTAACGGACAAGGATATTCAAAGGAGTCAATCATGCTACGCAGATGCAAATGCTTTTCTTTTACTGCTTAAGACTTTGTGCAATGAAAACACAATGTGCAATTTGAACAGTATCCTGTCCTGTCTTATAATATACAGGCTTTCCTTTTGTTCAAACTTGTTTACAGGGACATAGCTGTTGTTTACAGATAAGACTTTACTTGTACTGTAAAGCGTTGTGGTGTAACCTGTACTGATATCATGTCATTCATGTACTGTAGATGTAAGACAGAGTATTATGTGGTTGAAACCTAAAATAAATCAGAGAAAGTTACTTTACAAAGTGTACAAAGTGATTATTTATTACGGATTCTTTAACAACAAATGAGAACGGATGACCCAGAAACCAAAACAATTATCATTAGATTGACTGTTTACAGAAAATGTTGTCCTGACAGAAAATAAAGAGACAGGAAAGTGTTGTATGATGATCCAACAGTACCTCTGAGGGGGTTGTTGTTTGACACCACACCGAGCTAGATAGCATGGACTTCTTTCTAGCTTCAACAATCAGACAGGTTTGCTAGTTAATATGTTCAAACAACTACCCAGGACCAGATTAAGTCATCAGTGAGCTGCTAGTTGCTTGTTCTAAGAAAACTGAATGATTTCTGTGAAAGCCCACTGTCTTTAGATGATCATTTGAACTTCTTGTTCCAAATTGCTTCCAATTTGTTAGAACACAACTAAAAGCTGGAATATTTAGTTGAGAGGAAATTATATCAGTGGACTCATTGCAGAGGTGGCAACCTACCACGGTACCACGCTAGAATTCACTGAGCTCCTGCAAGTGCAGAAGCAGTCTGCATGCCTCAGTGCTTGACTTCATACACCTGTGGCTGCAGAAGCGATTGGAACACCTGAATTCATTATTTGGACGGGTGTCTCGATGTCTGCCTGTATGTCTGTCGGCTAAGTGACGGCTATCCTGAGATCAGAGCAGAATCTAGAAGTGATATCCTACCTTCAGACTCGCCTTGATGAGAGGATTGGCAGATTGCATTTTCATCATTATTGTGACACAAAAGAAGTTTTATGAAATTTAAATGTAAATGCAACACACTGAGGAGTACGGTTTCACTAATTATTATCCACTGTACAGCATAATAAAATGGTAAACGCCCTTTCATTCTCATTTTTACATTGCTTTAAAACTTCATTTTCATTTTGATACCAACAGAGTGACATGTAAATGTAAAAGGCTGGGAAATGATTGATTTTAAACATCCATGGCACAGCAGGTTTAGTCTTGAAAAATGAACAGTGGTATGTGAAAATTAGTTGCATTTTTACATTTTCATTTTTACTCAAATAACACGTGGAAAATTACAATGCTATATGCTGTAATGCTACATGCTACAGTAACAGTACAACGATCTGACATGTCTTTAGAAAAAGGTCAGAGATTTTATATCGTCCAACTGAATTCTGAATTAAAACTTGAATCTCGACTGAATTCACAACCCACTGAAAAAGCTGACATGAACAAGATTACGGTGCCGGTTACTGTGTCTACATCTTGGTCCTGTGAGGGCAACGTGTCAAATCTGTTTGGGATGTAGTACTTAGAAAGCCATGAAACATGAAATATGTAACATGTGAGCCCCACACTGGTCACTTTTGTGCTGTACAACTTTATATGCAGTGCCTGCAGCTCTTCTATTTCAGAAAGCAATATCAGCTAAAACCTTACGATATCAAGTGCTGTGAGATGAAATTTGTTTACAATTGTGCTATATAAATACATTTAATTGAAAATTGAATTAAAATGAAGGAAGATCCCGTTCTTAAACCTGAGGTAGGCAGTATTTTTAGGTCTCCACCAAATCACCTTAACCTTTCAGTTTATTTTACTTCAAGTGGTCTGAAAGGTAAGTCAACTTCTGCACCTCCTCCTGGCTCTTTTTCAGATTTTAGGAAATGTAGCTCATGACAGGAGATGTCAGCCAATCACAGGGCTTTTGAGCAATCTGTCTCAAAGTCCATTAAGAGATAGGGATGTAGAGGTGCAATAAGTTAGGTGGTTGACTTTCAAGATGAGGTTCAAATCCCAGGTGAAGCCACGAATGAATGTGGACTTTTAGCTCGACTATGATTGAAGCGTGTACTTGCCTGATGGGAGGGGCTTAGAACAGGGAGGGAGGAGTTGCAGAAGGATGGCTGTATATTTTCTAGATGTCTGCCTACTGTAGCTTTAATGCTTACATGGCCCTTCAGGGCCTCTGTCAGAGAATCTGGGATTCTGCAGAAACAGCTGCTGCTGCAGTCTCACCAAAGCCACAAGTGCATCCTCTTTTAAAGGGGGTTCATGCTGGGAGGATATTTTAGAGATGTAGCCTTGATCTGATCCGCTGCTTGGATCTTTTCCACTAGACCCCAAACCCTCATCCTCCTCCATCTCCACAGGCTGGGAGAGGCTGATTTCAGATGAGAGGAAACACTCACTCTGTACGCTTGCGCATGCAGATTCTGGAAATTTTGAGCCCAGGGAGTTCTGTGGAGTTGAGCGCCTCTGGTCAAAATGGGCAGACGGCTGGCTCATGGGCAGTAGAGAATCCTCTTCATCATCCTCAGAGGGAAGGTGACCCAAGGGTTCTTCCCTGAGGGAGAGCCAGTTCTGTCTTGGTGGTGGTAGTTTGTTTAAAACAGACTCAGGTCTATAGACTGATACTGGACTGGGGCTGTGAGGACACACATGACTTGTCAACATCTCACCCAGGCTTGGCGGATATTTACCACCAGGATTTACGACTGGAGTAAGTTCTGCCACTGACGACAACTGGCGCTGTGGGTTCATTTCAGGTGTAAGAATGTGAATGCTGTTGTCATTTTCATTGATTTCTACCTCATTAATGAAGACAGAAGGCACATCTCTGACTACAGGGACACACTCTAGGACAGGGGGGATCTGCAGCTGGTCAATGAGCGGGCTGGCATCAGCAATGACCTCCTCTTCACCACCTACACACTCCCTCTCAAACCAATCAGGATTTTCCATTTGGTAGGCCTGGAAGGCTTCGATCGCATTCCTTAGGTCTCTACCTGAAGGACAGTGGAAATATTCATCCCCACCAATTCCCTCAATGTGGTTAACATGACCTGGCTGATACTTCTCAATGTCTAAGATGCGGAAGTACAGCTCTTCAAAGTGCTTCATCAGATTGTATTTGACAGCAATGTCAAAAACTGATGGCACGTCTACTTCGCTGCTGATGTCACCAAAGTAAGCTACCATGTACTTGCTCCGCATACCTGCCTGGTGCATGTCACTTAGGACGAGGTTGAGAAAGGGAGTGAGCATGTCGTCTGTGGGGGAGAGGATGTCTTCCCTCAGGATCACTCGCCTTTGACCACACATGGCCCTCCACTTTGCTTGGACACCTTGTGAGCACAGCACCAGGATTTTGTCAGATGGGTTTTTCAACTGCTGTCGTTGCCACTCAAGCCAGCGGTGGCAACCCACCATGCTGACTGATGTGGAGTCGAGCAGGTCTACCAGCACCTTAGTGCCACACTTGGCCTGGAGGAAGCTGCAGAGCTTCAGCACTATGTTTCTATACAAGTGGTGGTCCTGGGAGTAGATGATCAGCACTTTGGGAGGTTGTTTGACCTGCTGCTGCGGCGGTTTCTCATGTATAATTGCATTTCTACCTGCATCAATTTTACCTGAAAGTGAAAAAGAGCACTGATAAGTACCAGTAGATTAAAAGCGACTTGAAGATATTCACAAATCGATGTTCCCAATAAAAGTTGATGAATTGTGACTGAATGTATTCTATGTGACTAACCTGGCTTCCTGCAGAAGACAAACACTACAACTGCCGTCACTATACACATAGACACTATTCCCAGTGCAATGAATGTGAATGGAGGGACATCTGGAGCATGTGTCGGCCGTACTGTGGTAAAGAAAACACAGTTTATTAGTTGGCAACACTCCTGTTTTTACAGATTACACTGGTCATTGTAGTATCATGCCGGCATGTCCCAAATCTGTACACCTGGCACTGTCCCTTCTAAGGATCTTCAGGAAGATGTTGTTTTAGTCACGCCCAGCTAGCAACCAGGCTCCAAGCCAACTACTGTAAATTTCTGTGCAGACATTCATGGTTGTAGTAGTTGAACTGACTTAGTTGACTTTACATCTTGGACCACAAGTGGGTCCAACGTTTCACTTCTCCGCTGAAATATCTCCTATAAAGGACCTGAAATCCAAAGACATTGTTTTGGACCAAATCAAGTTTTAAGCCTCAAAATAAAACTTGATGGTTCAGCAGATTTTGGTCATCTGATTTGGTGTCAGCTCAAGATGGATGTGCTTTATGTTTGACCCAAAGGTAGGCTAATACATAGATAACATAACAGAACAAAATTATGTCTTATTTTTTGATTGTCTGTTGTGTTTCCGATGCCCTAACAACACACACAGTATGCCTTAATATTGTGTGTGTGTGTGTGTGTGTGTGTGTGTGTGTGTGTGTGTATATTTTATAATTAAACCTGCAACTGTATTTGTATTACCACCTGACGGGCAACTCGATACATACTGTATGAAGACAAGGAAATCTGGGAATCAAACCACCAATTTACTTACTGACGTCTAACTTGACCATAATGTGATGATGCTGTACTGCTGAACTGAACAATCACTCAAGGTGTTCCCAAGTAGGAGACACCCTGGCCTAGAAATCACATTCTCTAGATATAAAGAAACAGGCTTGTTTGGTATAATCTGCTGCAAAAATCACATTATCATTTTTATGTTTTTAAGTATATCTGCCAACATACCAGTACAAATATCCTGAGTTCTTTGTCGACGGATACAGTCCGGCCTGCATTGTTGGAAAAGAGGATTGATCTGCAGTAAAGACACACTGCCATGTTAACAAAAAACACATAGGTAAAACATGATTATAGACAATTCTGAGGTACTAACAGCTAATAGAGCTTTACCAATACACTCACAGCCCTCAGCAGAAAAGATTTAAAAAGGTTTACCTGAACCTTAAACAGGCAGCAGGATCTTGGCCATTCATCAAGAATGAATGATACATTCAGGGTCGTCAAATTGGCCTGGAGGAGAGTTTTTTTTTTTAAATGAGAAAACATTATTATTCAGTTTGACTGATGCTATACAAACATTTATCAAGACAGTTCCAATGCTTGTATTCTTTCAACATAATTCTGGTAGATGTGAAAATAGAAGTATTTCTGTTTAAGAAAATATGAAAATGGGTGACGGCATGTTGATTAATGAAGATGCTTGTAGCTGTGTTTCTATGGCAGCTCTGTACCTAGTGTGTGCACAACTGGTCAAACTGCTGGGCTATAGAATGCATTCGAATGCAAGGTATACAAATACATTAATGCAGTAGTGCAAATACACATTAAGAGTACCACAAACTATAGCGTTCAGAATCACCACAATAACAATTTCTGACGTTTTGTTGAAACACACAGATACACCGTTTGTTTATGTCGCGCTTATATTAAGGAGCCCCACAAGAACCTGGTATGTGTTCTGAAGAGTAAGTGCAGCAACATTACCGAGTGTGTAACAATTTCCAACATTACAACAACATTATGACAACACTATAACATCAGTATACTGTGGACAGTGGGTAGACAGCAGTCCTGAGAAAGTACAGAGTGGGAGGCTGACATCTCACTCCTATTAAAATGCAGCTCTCTGTGAGGAGACTAAAAACGGCACTTTTAAGTGTCAGTGTTCTGATCTGGTGTCAAATTGAGCCAAAACTATTCTCTGAAGTTCAAATGCATTCCTAAGATGATACATAATGTGAACGTTCAAACTATACAGTCAGTTTACATTTACATGGTTTAAAACATTTCATAAGCAATCTTTTCTGCAATCAGCATCAATACACCGCAGAGAGAGAAGTGACACAGAGTTTCCTGTACTGAAGAAGAAGAAAAAAAGAAACTGTGCTAAAAACTAGGCTACAACACAAATGACAGGATGTTGTACTAAGCAGCTACAGTACTGTTCTGGGTCAAATCACTGAAAGGAAAAACCCTTCCATCCTGTGTGTCAGACTGCACAAGCACTCTTCAAACACAGCATTGGAACGTCCAGCATGATGGGACCTTACCTTATTTATGTTGCTTGCATTTTGGGTCGTGCCGCAGCTAACAATAACCTTATATTCCTCACACAATCCATCAGGGCTGAAGCTAACAGCCAGAGCAGACCTTCCACTGTCTGCAGTGATGGGAGTCACACTGATGTCAGGCTGCCACAGACTTCCTACAATACAGCCACATGCAAGAGGTGTGTTACAAATGGGTGATAGGCTTCATCCACTGTTACTGGAATTACTGTCTATGAGGGACTCACCTTCCTCTATGCAAAACTGGGTCATTTGCATTTTTGGATCTTGACAGTCTGTGTAAACCAGAATGAGAGAATTTTAGCATACAAGCAGATGAACAGAAAGAAGATAAAACCAGATGCTCCAAGTCCCGCCTCTGCTTTTCATTTAAAAGCAGCCATTTAGGAGATTGGGTAAGAGCTATGAATCATCTCACAGTTGGCAACACACACTTCAGACCTGTGTGCTACCTACAGTTTCTAAATTTGCCATCATGTTTCAGATGCTTGAAATTTGTGTACATAAACGCTGTATTTAAACATGTATATTCCAAACCATTTTATTAAGGCCCCAAATAGACAGACATTCAGAGACTAACTACATAAGAAGAAGAAACTAGAATATGATTTGTGTCTTTGCACAAACACATAAATACAATCGTGACTTGATAATCTGACCCTTAACAATCCTAAACCTGCTATCCGACAGGTTTTTAGGAAAAACCAACAGAACCCATAAAAACAGCCTTAACATAGCGACAGCCTTGGATTCTGACTCCGACATGACATTTAATGTCACCAATCAGGATGACGGCGTATTATCTGACTGACAATCCCACAGATTGGCTACGTTCACACTGCAGGACTTGATGCTCAATGAGGATTTTTTATTTATTTATTTATTTTTACTTTTTTTTTTTTTTTGGCCTTTGTGCCTTTATTGGATAGAGCAGTGAGAGAGAAACAGGAAAGTGTGGGAGAAGAATGGGGGGAGGACGTGTAGGACAGGGCCATGAGTAGGATTCGAACTCATGACCTCCACATCGGGACTGTAGTCCTGCACATGGGACGCCAGCTCAACCAGGTGAGCTGTAGCGATGCCCCAATTCTGATTTTTTTGTGGAATCCAATTTTTTTGCGAATTCGTTCACATTCCAGTTCTATGCGACCTGTATGTGATCTGCTGTGTGAACTTCATACGACCCAAAAGTGTCCCGCATGCGCAGAAGAGGACACGACGACGTCACACGCAGCGAGCGTGCTCAGTGTTTATGGAAGAAAACATGGATGGTAACGGTGGAGCGTATCTGCCACTCCCCCGCCGCCACCGATGGAGGAAACAGAAGTGTGAGCGCTAACTAAACTAGCATCAGCAGCCAAGTACTGCCTGTGTGTTCTGGACACTTCCACCCCGTCAGAGCGCTGCCCCGGGGTGGAAGTGGTCGGAACGTGCACAATCACACCGGTCAGTTAGGCTGAAGTCCAGTGATGCGTAGTGTTCTAACAATACATTAGTTATTATAACAACTATGAACAATAATTAACAACTAATGAGCCTTCCAGCATCAAGCCCTCCTTGTATCTGGACCTCCGTCTTGACAATCAGACAGCCTTGCTATCCGACATAACAGAAGGTTTTACATTTAGTGTCGGTACTGTACATGTCGTAAAAAAGGACAAATTCATGTATCACTTCATCCAAGCAGTGATAGAAGGATGAGCAAAACAGAGGTCTAATCTCGACAGTGAGTTTAGTGAAAATGCTGAGATAAGGAAACTCTGGGTTTTCCCTTCTGGGTCAGTTACCATGGTAACGAACTGTCTGAACCTAACCTGCTCTCTGGCAGGTTTACTTTGACTGACTTGTTTCCTCATCCATACGATACCAAAGCACATGCCAGAAGCATTCATTTGCAGAAGTTTTTCTCTTTAGACAAATCCAGATAGATATTAAACTGTAACGCGCAGGCTGTTGTTGACAGAACTGCTTTATGATCAATCTGTCATCAATTTAAGGACAGAGACGGTGACTTATAGACACTGTGGACTCATCCTCAGCTCACAATAACACTGTGACTCATTGAACACTAAGTCAGCTGTCAGGCTGTCAACCAGTTCCCCGGCACTGAGCTGTTTCCTGTAAGCTACTGAAGTCATCGCTCTCCGTATGAAGCCTAGACACAGACACTGATCACTTAACACAGATGTCATGTTGTGATCGGTTAGGGTGATGGCACATTCCAAGAGCATTTCATGTTGAAATATCTACAAGTTGACATGCAACTGTTAAATGCTGGTGAGCAAGATTTGTGACGTTTAACCAAGACACCGTCTCAACTGCATAATTCGTCATAACTAAAGGACTCATCTACATTTTGTTCCTGACAGCTGAGTAAATAAAGGAAGTTCACCTCTGTACAATATCACTTAAAAGCTAAATGATTTAAAAGTGTGTGACTGTGCAAGGATTGCATTAATCCAAATCTAACAAGTGGAGGAATTCCCCTTGTAAAGTAGGGCCACAAAATATCATGTTTCAGCATCACTAGTGTGATAAGTGCATGCATAGTTCACTTCCTGCAAAGTATAGGCAAATTACCACAAACACATCACGCTAAAACTGTTTCTGCTGCCACAGGACTTACTTTCCATGACGAATCTACAAGAGAAGTTTGCCCATTACAACATAATTTATTCTGATTTAAGGGTTCTTCAATACACAGAGAATAAAAAAAAACAACAACAACAACGAGACACACTGTCAGCTGTAGGCACTGCACTGGAATATCAATCATGTTAAAAAATGTCGACTTCCCACAATAAACTGAACATGATGAGCTGCAATAGTCCTGTTGAACATGGCCCACTCAAAAAACAGCCCATGTAGATTAAATTTGGTTTTAGCTTGTCTAACTCTGAGAATGCCTCATCTCACTCTTTTTACAATAGTTTTTGCTCACACACCTGCAGTAGCTGAGTATGGACAGCTGACCAGCTAGTTACTCCCTAGCTGGTATGTGAGGGCTTTAGGAAACACTGGTGAAGAAAGCGTCTATTAACAAGCAGATGTGCAGAAAATTAGGAATTTTGGGTACAGTTGTGTGTATACTTGGCTCCTGGAAGGCGTTCTAAATACATTTGAAGATTATAGGTTTTTTATTTTGAAGTAGATTTGTATAGGAATTGTAAATTGAATTGAAAATGGAACCTAACTGTTTAACTAAATGAGGACATTCAACAAAAAATATTTTGTCTCTTAAACCAATGAATAGGTGTAACAAATAGGCTAATCATGATCTAAAATTGACAGAAATAATAGTGGTAATAATGCTGTCCTTAATCATGGACCTTTAGTCACTTGTATGTGAATACTTCTGCTCCAGAACGGATGATGTTGACCAAAAACAGGTTCTCTGTCTGCAATGTCGTGCAACGACTAATTGAACCAACTCCAATCAGCTGTTCTGGAACCAAAAACTCAAGTTTCTCATCTCAAAGTCAGTCAACTCAGAGTTCTGGTTTGGGCTCAGGTTTTGTTAAACCCTCTTTAAAGAACAGACTCCACCTAAACAACAGTTTCATTTGCTCACTCGAAAACAACAAAAACAACCGAATGCTGGTTCTGACTTCAGCTCACCTGGGACACGAACGTTCGTGCTGATGTCATAGGTGCTGTGGTTGATCTCTGGTTTGGGGATGTTGAAGACCGACACCCGGTACGTCTGGCCAGGGATCAGCACCAGCATGTCAGCTGAGAACGACCACTAAAAACACAAATCATACTGTCTGTCATGGAGGGAGGCTTCACAAACTTAGCGAAAAATGTGGAACTGGAATGTTCATCTGCTACCTTTAGGATCAAATGTCAGTGCAGTTGGGTATTTATATATTATACACAGTGACGGAACGTAACTAAGGAAATTTACTCAAGTGCTGTACTTACAAATCTGAGGTACTTGTACTTTACTTGAGTATTTTTGTTTTCAGGACACTTTTTATATCTCCTCTAGTACATTTAAGAAGGAAATATTGAACTCTTTACTTTCAATCAGTTTCATTTTTATAGCGCCAGTTCACAAGATGTCGTCTCTTAGCACTGCACGTAGCAGGGTGAAGCCTGTACACATGTCAAACAGACCAACAACACAAAGTTCCCTTTAGATTTCCTTTCAGCCAGCAGTCAGCAACAGGGAGAAAGAACTTAATTACATTTAGATGAAGTGATTAGTCTATTAGTAATTCATATTTTAATTGAAACTGAAATGCTGAAAATGCTGAGATTGTTAACCCAGAGATAAGGGAAACTACGGGTTTCCCCTTCCAGAGAGCGGTGACTCTGTTGCCATGGCAACAAACTGTCTGAGCCTGACTTGCTCTCTGGCAGGTTCACTTGGATCATCATGAGCGGAAGCTGGGACCCAAAGCAGTTTAAAATGAGCTGCACCTCAGCAAGCCACAAAAGTGAAATCCTGCTTTTACATTAAAAGCAGGATTTCACTTTAAAATAAGTAACAATAAATAAAGTAGGGCCCGACCCACATGGATTTTAGGACGCTGATGCTGATTCTAGTATTTGGCAAAAAATTCTGATAGCCAACTAATCAGCTGATTAATTTAAAAAATGTATAATGAATGAAATCGCTTCTGTTTTGGTCCCTTAATGCTGCAACAACAAAGATCTGAATCACAGGCAGAACATTTTGTTGTTCTACACTTTGTCCTTTAGTGTCTGTCTGTAGTGTCTACAACAGAGAGGAAGTGTCAAGAACAAAAACATGCAGCAGAGCATTAAACATAATATACATCAGTAAAAAAAAAAAAGTTTTCCAAACAAACATGTCTGTCATGTGGGTATTTTATGTTAAATCTGCATTGTTCTTCCTATGGAGCATGAATGTAGCTACCAGCTGTACTGATGACTCCATCTGTAGGTTCAGGCCATAGGTGTAGCTGTATGCAAGCAGCATGATGAGTGAAGCTACTGCACAACATTATTGATGCAGCTCTCTGATGTTCTGGACTCTCACAGACTGGGCTGTCTTTAAAGTCGATCAGCATAAGCTAATAAAAATGTAAGTTAAATAAATGAGGTAAAAAGTTGGATAAACAGTTTAAAAAGCTGTTTCCTGTAGTTCTCTGTCAGAGTGAAGCTCTGTGCCGGTGTTGGTTTCAGACTTTGTGTCAGAGTGAGAGGTCTCACCGCTGGACGGTCGTCAGCTATCTTAACTCTTCATCATCTCCGTGTCCAAGTCGGACTTGTTGACAACAATCAGCAGCACAAACGGAGCTTTTCGTGGTGTTGCTGAAGTGTTCTACAGCTTTGCCCTGGACAATATTTGTCTTTTTACTAAATCAAGTTGTACAAAATGAATGTAGGAAAGCGACTGTGACACTGAACAGCATTTACTGTTTAATGAGAAATCAAGAATATATCGGCGCTTAATCGGCAAAACTCCGGCCGATGATGAGTGTTTTGAAAAGGGCTGTAATCGGGCAATTTAATTGGTCGGGCCCTAAAATAAATAGTACACTTACTTTTATTTAAGAAAGAACTTGTACTTGTACACTGTACTTTGACAGTGTCGTATTCGCACTTATCAGCACTAAAGCAACCTTTTATTAAAGTGAAGGATCTGAGTGTTTTCTCCATCACTGCTGTATTCAGCAAACATTTTTGAAGTGAATGTATTCAAAAAAACAAATATAGAGTTTCAACCCCTCTGAACATCCTTTCTGCAGCTGTAGTTTGTAGTTGCTTTAAAAACTATAACAGCCTAATAAGCAGCCGTTAAAATGCTGAAGCCTTGATCAGCTACAGTACTTGTCCTAAAAACTGTGACTCTGCAACTCTGCTGTAACTGAAGTAGTCTGTGAGGAAACTAGGTTTCTGCACCTCCTCCAGGTATCGTTGTTAAGGGTTTTGAAAATGTAGCTTGAGACAGGAGATTTTAGTCAATTCCAGGTTCGTCAAATCTGATTGCGTGAAGAGCCACAAAGTGTGCAATTAGAATAGGATGTGACGGAGCAACAGGTGAACACAAGGCCGAGTCTTAAAACAGAGAGGAGAGGGGGAATGGATGCAGGGGGAAAGCTTTCTATTTTTAAATTCTACCATTTTATATATTTTTTTCAATCCATATTTTTGCCTACTGCGGCTTTATGGAGGATTTAGAATGCAGGGCATTTACTCGTAGTCTACTTTATACAACTGAAGGATCTTTTTCCACCTCTGATCATTTGGCTAACTGCATTTTGTATTTAATCCAGCCAGAGCTCTCTTTGTTTGAATGACAGCACCAATGCATTGGACATGTTTGAAATCTTGCTGATACTAAAAGAACTAAAGAAAAGTAAAGGAATCCAGTTAGTTTCTTACAACAGGCTGCCTCAGGTGTGAGGTATACCTGAGGCAGCCTGGGGGGGATAGCGATACAAAAAATGGATCACAGTGTTACAGGGTGCAACGACAATCGTGCCAAATTCAGAAAATAAAAAATAAAAAAGTTGAATATCTTTGAGACGTACATATAAAAATGCAGAAACATGTCCATCAAATTTCAACATTAATCTCGAGCCACCCACCTTTTCTCCTGATGGACTTGTCATTGGAAGTCTGTCGTTGAAAGAATATCGAACACACAGGTTCTGATTGGTGGACATTACTAGAACGTGAAGCTCCGTGGCTCTCAGGTCACGGACACTGCCTGAGGAGGAACACAGCACAGGTCACTACACCACAGCACACTGAAGTACAAGTTAGTGTTTTTTGCAATTTAGGTATTATTTTTGTTGATTCCTATGGAGCAGTGAGAGCGCCAAATTACAAAATTTGTAATTAATTTTGTAATTACAAAATTACAAAATAAATAAATAAATAAATCAAAAAGAATTTAAAAAATGAAAGTGGAAATCAAAAGAAGAATAAACAAAATTAAAAAGAAACAATTTGGCAACATAAAGCAATATTAACAAAAAATTAATCCATAAAAGAAAAGGCTAATGAAAGTAGAAATATAAAGACAAATAAATAAAATAATTAAAATAATAATAATTTTTTAAAAAATATTTATTTATTAATTTTTATCTATTTAGATTATCATATTTTAATTTTTAAATATTTTAATTTTTATTATTTCACATTTCATTTTTATTTTATTTATTTGTATTTATTTTTTATAAAGTCGCTTTAAAAGCAAAGGAAATATGCGCAGAAAAACAACATTCCTACTGCGCACATTTTTCTGCACATATTTCCTTTGCTTTTAAAGCGACATTAGAAAAAATAAATTAAAAAATACATAAATTAAAAAATTAAATATAAAAATAAAATGAAAAATAATAAAGAAAGAATTTAAAAATAAATAAATATTAAAAATAAATAAACACAAATAAATGATTAAAAAATCTATAATTATTATTTTAATTATTTTATTTATTTGTCTTTATATTTCTACTTTCATTAGTCTTTTCTTGTATGGATTCATTTTTGAATAATATTGCTTTATGTTGCAACATTATTTATTTTTTATTTCATTTATTCTTCTTTTATTCCCACTTTTATTTTATTATTCTTTTGATTTATTTTTGTAATTTGGCGTTCTCACTACTCCATAGATTCATCCATTATTTATATCACTAATAACAAAAGAGAACTAAACAACTTCATTTCTGACATCTGGATATGGCGACATCACATACAAATTCACAGCCACAGCTCAAGCAGGTTTGAAATGTATTTGACGGTCAAACTGAAAGTGAATGCACAGACACTTTGACCGCTTGCCTTAATTTTCTTTTCCAAAAAATATTGATTAAACTTTTGGTTTGTTTCTGACCTGTCCAATAGCTCCTTGACCCGTAAGACTTAGTTTTAACGACATCACTGTGTCCCCAGATGTCAGCTGTTATTTACAATAAAATAAGATTCACTGATGACTCTGTTTATTTATTCTGCAGCTCTTCAAAATATCAAGATGGTGAAACTATAAAAGTTAGTTTTTTCATTCTGCCTTCTTTTAATGATACATCTACAATCTGCTGCGATGCTGACATGCATATAGAAAACAGTACTACCACCACCTTCACCTCCTCAGAAAGCAGACCTACTCACCGTCAACCTTTATCTTCCACTTAGCGCACAGTACAGGCTGCAGGCGTCCTTCCTCATCCTGCCTGGTGTCCACCGACACCTCCAGCTGCTCCGGACCACTGGGGGTATATTCATGAGCAAGCAGCCACCCTCTGTCCATACAGTTGTCTGCACACACACAAATACACACACTTTGAATGGCAGACAGCTGGGAAACCTGACACCACACCTGAGTCTTCAAAGCACTTTATGTCATTTATGCATTTACAGTATGACTGTATTTGTTTGATTTTAAATGTGATTCTTAATTTAAATGTTAATGTTAAAAACAGACAAATAAATAATAATAATTAGCATTTGAGAGTAAAAACTAAATTTGTGCCCACTCTGAGGCCTGGTGAATTCAGACCTTCATTCTTGATTCATTGTATAAGCCAGACAGGTCTGCTGACTGGTGTTGTTTCACTGTCGAGTTGACTTTACCTTCTGTACTGTTCAACCTTAAAATCAGTGTTATCATTTCCAGTTCGAGTTGATTTACGTCCTGGTTTATGTTAAAGTAGTCATTCCTTTTGTCTTGGTTGATGTTACCGAGGGTTTTTTTGTCGTCTCCACCTCAGTGATTTTCTGATTGTCTTTATTGTTCCAAAGTGAATCCCTAAAGCAGGGGTCTCGAACTCGCGGCCCGTGGGTCAATTGAGGCCCGCAGAACAATATTTTGTGGCCCCCTACTTGACATCAGAGTTTAAGGTTAGTGCAGTCCACGCATTTTTCTCACACGCACCTGTGCCTGTCGCTGCCCTGGGCGTTCTCTGTTTTAATCACTGTAGGCTACCGTAGCTCAGGCTCGTGACAGCAACGTGAATTAGCAACGTTGGTCACTTGAAACGTGATTTGGGAGTGTCACCGAGTGGAGGGAACAGATATCCTGTCACCCAGAGCCAGTGCATGTTCTTTCTATCTGTGTGAAAAGCTCTTCTCCACCATGAGCTTTAATAAGTCAAAGTACAGGTCCACACTTACTGATGAGCCATACCTAGGGTCTCAGTTGCTGCCTCCGTCAAGCCAAATGTGGCTCAGCTGTAAGATGAAGCGCTGCAGGTCTCTGGCAGCAAGGAGTAGGTCAGAGATGCCTATTTTCATGTTCTGTATTATTAATAATAATGATTGAGGAGATTGGATCAGTTGTACTTTATTTGTGGAATACTTGATGCGGCCCAGCCTCAGCCAGACTCCAGTTCAGACTCCACTTCAGTTAACTTTTATCACTAATATTTAGCTCAGTTAGTCTGTTCTAAGTTTTCATAACTTTCAGAACATAAAATTCTGAGTTCAGTTGGCTCATTAAATAAACCATTGAAAGCGCTGTTAGCTTCATTTTCTACACTTCCCAGCACAACTTGCATTCAAGTTAAAATTCACCAGAAGCCCTTCTCCTCTCTCCGGTCTAAACGAAAACAGCACAGACCAGGATGAAGACACGTGTACCTCTCTGACCTCCTGCATGCTGAGCCTGTTCACTGCTGTCAGCTTTAGTATAAAAAAATCATGAAATAACAAGAAAAGGACTCCAATCTCGTAAACCAAGAGTTGATGTGCATTGCTTTCACTTGTGTGATAATGGTACTTTAACTTTGAATAAAAAAAGTCTAAATTGTAAAATACAGTCATGACTTGATAATCCGACACTATATGTAAAACCTTCTTTTAAGCAGGGCTGTCGAATTGTCAAGACGGACGTCGAGATACAAGGAGGGCTTGATGCTGGAAGGCTCATTTCTTCTTAATATTTATTAGATTTATATTTATAGTTGTTACAAAAACTAGTGTATTGTTAGAACACTACACATCGCTGGACTTCAGCCTAACTGACCGGTGTGATTGTGCACGTTCCGACCACTTCCACCCCGGGGCAGCGCTCTGACGGGGTGGAAGTGTCCAGAACACACAGGCAGTACTTGGCTGCTGATGCTAGTTTAGTTAGCGCTCACACTTCTGTTTCCTCCATCGGTGGCGGCGGGGGAGTGGCAGATACGCTCCACCGTTACCATCCATGTTTGCTTCCATAAACGCTGAGCACGCTCGCTGCGTGTGACGTCGTCGTGTCCTCTTCTGCGCATGCGGGACACTTTTGGGTCGTATGAAGTTCACACAGCAGATCACATACAAGTCGCATTGAACTGGAAACGTGAAGGAAGTCACAAAGAAATCTAAATGTAGCATCAAGTCCTGCAGTGTGAACGTAGCCAATCTGTGGGATTGTTCAGTCAGATAATACGCCGTTATCCTGTCGGATAGCAAGGTTTAGGATTGTTAAGGGTCGGATTACGGAGTCATGACTGTATATTCAAAAAAGAAAATATTATTGAATACATGTAAAGTTATTTTTGACTGAAGTTTGTCCTCAACGTTATATTTATAAGTGTGGAAGAGAAATGAGAACACCCAAGAATAGTACTATCACCCTTCAAAGACTGAAATCTAACATGTGAACCACAGGTTGTGGAAAACTGAACAGCACAACAGAACAAGACGAAACTTCACTCACCTGTTCTGACTGTACAGTTCAAATCCTGTGACAAGAAAAATAACATTAGAAAAGAGAATTGTAGTATTATCAATGGTGATGCCATCACTTCACTACAGTTACCATGTGAAGAACAAGCTATTCTACCGACTGTCTGTCTGAAACAGTCTGGAAGGAGCCGTGTTGTAGCCTCGTGTGCTATCGTCTCATCACATCATTGAACTTGAGCTTATTTTAAAGTGGAGACAGAAATACACAAAAATACTTCCATAATTTACAGAAAACAATCAAACCAGTAGCAGACTGGAAAACAACACAGTACACAGAAGGAATACACATTTCTACAGTTTTACAGAATACAGTTTTTAACAAATAGTGTACTGTGAACAATTAATAATCGATTCGTGGTCGCCATGTTTCTTCGTCAGTTCTCAGTAAACTCACACCAACCAGCACAGCGGCGGTGCGACATTTTCCAGAGTCTACTTCCTTCTTCGTCTGCTTTACAAGTTTTAAATGGTTGAGTTGTTAACGGAAATTAATCAATAAACGATTAAATAATCTCCATTCCTTGTACACGGTTTATTGAAGAAAATAAGCAAAGCCGACATAATTTAATAGAGTCACAACAAAGCAAAGTGTGCCGTGAGTTCCGGTGAACAGAGGCTGAACCGCGAGCACACAGCCTCGGTCTGTCCTCACCTGTCGGGGGCAGGTGAGAGGAGACCGCGATAGAAGCCTCACCGCCGACGACGACAGCCAAACACACGACAGCAGCAGCAGCGCTCGATGAGGCGACATGTTTAGAGAAGCTCCTTCCTCCGTCACTCCGCCAACAGCACCGCCGCCATGTCAAACAAACTGCTGCGATCCAAAGCGCACGTCAACCACAACAGTTATTACTGCCGAACTTCCTGCTGGCCCTGAAAGCAACCTGTAGCGTTTACCGTAAGCGACCCCATGATGCGTTCACGTAACTTGGAAATTTCCACGATTCTACTAACAGTGATTATAAGTAATGTAAATCACAAACCTAACATTTTGAAAAAAATATGGGGGCGTTCGTTATTAAAAAAGGAGACTAAAATGATTATTCAGATCATTTTTTCTTCATTTTTCCACGTGCCACACGTAATGACGCGATGTTCCCATAACTTTCTAGGACAGTCCAGATAAATTGTTCTCTCTGTCAAGACCTGTAGTCATTTTTAGATGTATGACTACTGAGGCTATGACATTCAAGCCCCTGCTGCTGTGCACACTGTACAGTCTGTACTATTTATCATATACATTTATTATTTATATTATACTATAATATTATAATTCTGTTTTAATTATTATATATTATTTTATTTATAATGGAGTCTCCATGTTCTCCCCGTGCAGCGTGGGTTCTCTCCGGGTTCTCCGGCTTCCTCCCACAGTCCAGAAACATGCTGAGGTTAATTGGTGATTGTAAATTGTCCGTAGGTGTGAATGTGAGTGTGCTTGGTTGTCTGTCTCTAAGTGTAGCCCTGTGATAGACTGGTTACCTGTCCAGGTGAACCTGCCTTCACCCTGAGTCAGCTGGGATAGGCTCCAGCCCCCCATGACCCTGGTGAGGATGAAGGTGTAGAGATGATGGATGGATGGATTATTTATAATAATTCTTTATTTATATTATTTACATTTCTCATATATCCAACAGTGCAATATATTTATTCTACCGTTTGGCTAGCTGTGTATACTTCCTACTGGCTCCTTTTGTAAATATATGTATATATTCTTATTTGTCTTTTTACACTTTTACTTTTATATGTTTGCACCACTGGAGTTGTCTTTTAATTTCGTTGTACTTTGTGTATGATGACAATAAAAGCATTCTATTCTATGTCTATGTATTTCTAAGCAAAAGGTCCAATGATCCGGTGCCATTTTTGCACATCCACTTATCCGTTCAGGTGCTTACATGGGGATCAGCAGCACAGTGTGCTGTGTCTTCTTTAACAGACAGATGGAAATTGCAGTGCAGTCTAAATCTAAAACATCATTCCACAAATATTTTACTTCGCTAAATTTCCATATTAACATGAGACATTCTAAAAAGCCAGAAGAAGTAGATGATTAGCATCAGGCAGTGAGAATACATACACATTTTGTCCTGCGAGTGAACACCAGCTCACAGCTGCAATTAGGTGTGGTCTCTACCAGGAAGTCTTTCGTCTCCCCATTTTTCCTATGGACCTTGAATGACGAATGCCATTGTCTTCCTTGTTCCAAGAAGCATCTCACTGTAATGACACAGCTGTAAAATGACACAGTTCTCCTTGAACTCACATCTCCATCTTAATATCATCATATGTGGGCTACAGGTGCATTCTGAGCATCCACTAAAGGCACTGAAAGCTGATCTAATAGGAACATATTTCGTCAGCCCCCTCTAGTACAATGTACCAACTGAACATTAGGGGAATAAAGAAGGTCTCGGACATGTTGAGTTTTCCACATCAGTAATTTTCATTGTTGCAGCTGCACTGTGGCATGCTCACCACCAGATAGCACAAGAGGACTCTTTAGTAGACCTCTAAGGTTTATGATTTCATATTTCATGCACCTTCTTGCTCATATTTCCGTAAGTTTAGTTCTTAATGCAGAAAAGGTTACATGGGTCAGTGTCCCCAAGTAAAGATGTAAGCTTCATCTTTCCAGTCCTGAATCAACTGATCTGACAAGGCCCATCTTACTTTACCGCTGTTATAACAGAGATACTGAGCTGTTATTGCTTAGTTAGGAAGACGGGTTCTTGTTCCTTAAGTTCTGCACTGCCAGCAGAGTTGGGCCACATTAAGATGTTATGACTGGCATGCAGCTCACATCAACAAACAATGCAGTAAAGAGTGAAGTATGTGATGTCTGACACTGTATAACTGCAGTGGCCAATATGAGTGTACAATTTCGTGAGTGGCAAAAAGACCTGCACACTGGCATCTGCAAGGGCAGGCTGAATCCACAAATGCATGGCTTATTTTGCTGACACTGTATAGACTGCACACCTATGACAGAAAAAGCCACATATAAAAATCATAGTATCTGGAAAACTTTGTCCATTAACAACGACAAATCCACAAAATAATGGATTTTTATCAGATATCGAATCTGACAGTTACGCAGAGATGGCAGATTTCTTTTCCAAGGTCATGAATATATTTCTAAGTAAAGCCTTATATTTCATATTTCTACTGTCTTACTGTCTTGTCTTCAGTTTGGCCTTTAATACATGTGAATTGTTGGCTGAAGCAAGTGTATAATCAACTGTTTCGCTTTTAAACTGAAGGGTAATCTAATGCTGAATACTGACATCTGGCTTAAAAATTTGTTCTTGTGTCCATGGTGGTACCCAAAATGTGATCCAACATGGTCCGCAATTACTAGTGGTTAGGGCTGCAAGGTGGCGCAGTGGGTTAGCACTGTTGGCTCGCAGCAAGAAGGTCTCCGGTTCGTGTTCCGGTAGGGGCACCGGGATCTTTCTGCGTGGAGTCTCCATGTTCTCCCTCTGCAGCGTGGGTTCTCTCCGGGTTCTCCGGCTTCCTCCCACAGTCCAGAAACATGCTGAGGTTAATTGGTGATTGTAAATTGTCCATAGGTGTGAATGTGAGTGTGCTTGGTTGTCTGTCTCTAAGTGTAGCCCTGTGATAGACTGGTTACCTGTCCAGGTGAACCTGCCTTCACCCTGAGTCAGCTGGGATAGGCTCCAGCCCCCCATGACCCTGGTGAGGATGAAGGTGTAGAGATGATGGAT